TATATATATATATATATATATATATATATATATATATATATATATATATATGTATATATATATATAGCAACCTAGTTGGCGACTTTCGGGACATGTTATTTTTGTTCCTATTCTGTTATTTTTTTATTTTTTTTAGTACTATTTTTATCATATTTATATATATTTTTTAATTTTTCTTTTATTTCTATTTTTATTTATACATATTTAAATTTATTATTTTATTATAAAAATATATTTTTTATATTAATTTTTGTTATTTTTATTTATTTATTTTATATTATATTTCATTTTAACTTTATCTATTTACAAAAACGATTAATTACAATAATATAACCAAATTTAAACCTTACCTTAACCCTAACCCTAAACCTCACCTTGATGGCTGGCCAAATCAAACCATCAGTTGATGTAGCAGCACTCCCTTGCGAGTCAGGCTATTTGTCAGTCGTTGTATGTACTTTCCATTCTCTATAAAAGTTTCTTACGGGTATATTTTTTAATAAAAAAGTCATGCTTACGGGGACAAAAAATTAATGGGTACACTAAAATGTCCCCGATAATGCTAATGTCCTTGTAAGTGTATGTTTTTTTTGTAAAATCTGTTCCCGTAAGTGCTAAACTATTCAAATATATATATACATATATATATATATATATATATATATATATATATATATATATATATATATATATATATATATATATATAATATATATATATATATATATATAACTTTGTTTCAGTTTCAGCAGTTTTTCTTGAACATCTCTGAATCTTATTAATTTTTTTATAGTTTTCTCTTGTGGTAATAACATTGTAGGTCTTGGCTATAGGCCTCTATATTTATTTTTTTTAACTTTTTTATTACAAATATTTTTTTTAAATGCCAAAAAGTGACCAATGTTACCCCAGGTTTTGAGGTAGTATTGGTCATTCATTATCTATCATGTTTGATCAATAATACTCCTGCTATGGGATAACAATGGTCACTTTTTGGAGTTTTAAAAAATCATCAGTCCTTAAGCGCTTAAAGAAACATGAAATAAACATTGTTTAAACACAATTTTTGACATACAACTGTTTTTGAACCGGGATTGTACATCACATTTGTTTCATCATAATTGTATATATGACTAGCAGGCACATCTTCAATTACATGTTGCAATTCATCGAAGTATAGGTTGACAATCGATGCTTCAATCTTGAAATATACTGGTTTCACATTGTCTGCCAACCTCTGGGTCAAACGGTTTCGTTTTATAAAAGATTTGAACCAGTTGTCACCGGAATGTTGTTTTTGAACCGTGAATCATGGACACGAGATTGATCCAAGTAATCTTTTACTAGAAGTTTGATATCTATTGAAGTCAATAGAATTTTCCTGTTGGAGAAAAAATGCTTTGAGACTGTTCTATAACTCTTGCTTAGAGAATTTATATTCTAAAATGCTCTGTGACTTCTATAATTCTTACTTAGATAATTTATATTCTAAAATGTTCTGTGACTGTTCTATAATTCTTACTTAGAGAATTTATATTCTAAAATGCTCTGTGACTGTTCTATAACTCTTGCTTAGAGAATTTTCCAAAATCTCAAGCATTGAAAAGAAAATAAAAATCTGTAGTTGGAGGTTCAAAATCAATTTTTAAATATGAAATAAATAAAGATTTAGTAAAGTAAATTATTTCAACAACCAGCATATAAGAACACACCGAAAAGTACTAAAATTCAATTATTTAATTTTCTCAAAAAAAATTTATTTTGGAAAAAATTAAATTATAATTATTATTGATATTAATAATTAATATTTATTTTTTGATTAAATTCTAGAATTTTTGACTAAATTCTTGAAGTTGTATATGTTTATACACCCAAATAACTTCCCTAAAATGGTTTTTATGTTTGATTTTATAGGTATAAATTTAATCGAGATTGTCTAATCTTGAAATATACAAAGTAATACAACAATGAGTTTTCAATTTAAAATTCTGTGAGAAATAAACAAATTTATTTTTAAATTTTAAACATTAGCTTTTAGCTGTTTTTTTCTATATATATTAATTAGAGTAATTTACTTATTTTTTTTATTTTAATCAAATTATGTTTCAATAGTATTTTTGTTTTACTATTACCAGTTTGTGTCTTTTTTTTTTTTGCAAGCTGTCCTTCTCCACCAGTCTACACTGATAAAGTTCGTAGTTATCGCAATAAACCTCTTTCAAAAGAAAAGTTTGAAAAAATGTTTGATGTAAGTGGTAGACTTGTTAATGAACATGATTTGCGTAAGGCAATATTTAAAGGTGAGGTTTTACTTTAAAAGAAAATTTTAAAATTTAATGAGGTTTGATGAAAAATTATCATATACAAAATAGTTTTTTCACTTCTTTGCGTTATACAACCTTATAACTTTTATATAAAAAAAGTTCACTATATATATATATATAATATATATATATATATATATATATATATATATATATATATATATATATATATATATATATATATATATGTATGTATATATATATATATATATATATATATATATATATATATATATATATATATATATATATATATATATATATATATATATATATGTATATATATGTATATATATATATATATATATATATATATATATATATATATATATATATATAATATATATATATATATATATATATATACACACACACATCATTTTCGCTATTAAAAGTGTTTATAAAATAAATCCTAAAAATAGTTTGAAAAGATTTATAAAAAAATACTTTTTAAACATGTATAATATATAAATTATATAGTAATCATATATAATATATATATATATATATATATATATATATATATATATATATATATATATATATATATATATATATATATATATATATATATATATATATATATTATAATAACATATAATAATATATAAATTATGTAATAATTATTATATAAAAATATATAAATTATGTAAATTTAATTACGTATAATATTCTTTGATAATTTAAATACAATGGGTTTATTGTAAACTTTTTAACTAATTTGTTACTTCATTTAATAAAGTAATAGTTAGACTTGATAATTTATGTATTTAATATGTTTACGTTGTAGTTTATATTTTTTATAATTTTGTATTTTTATTATACATTTTTATTATGTTTAATAATTACATAATTTATGTATTTAGTATATTTACATAATAATTTATGTATTTAATAATTTACAAAGCCTTTCGCATAGTGTAGTAATTTTTAAAAAACTTTTAAATAATAATAATATAAATATATTTTTCTTTTCCAAATTTTAGTTTTTCGAGCTTAGATTTTTTGTTTTTATTTAAGATTTTCTTTTTGTTAGATATTTTATTTTACAATTTTTTATTTATTTTCAGCGCATTTTAAAACGCCTAGAGTTGTCAAAACAAAGTGTGTGGTCAAGTTGTAAAAAAAAAAATTTTTGTATGGCCAGGAATGGCGTTCCATCGCACTTTTTTAATTTTTATCGGACATGTCTGGCAAACTTGAGTCTTTATTAGACAAATTGTCCGCCATTGTGATTTGAGTTTATCAATCATATATATATATATATATATATATATATATATATATATATATATATATATATATATATATATATATATATATATTATATATATATATATATATATATATATATATATATATATATATATATATATATATATATATATATATATATTTCTGAATATAAAATTAAAATATCGTAGGTTAATGCAAGTTAATAAAATAAAGTATATGTAATAGTAATAATAACCAACATTTACATAGCGGAAACACAAAATAATAATATTAAAATGAATAAAACAAATAAATTGAGAAAAAATAAATAGAAATACAATAAAAGCAATAAACGTTTTGCAACAAAACAAAAAAAAACATAAAAAGAGTAAAAGAAAATGTACTGACACATTAAAAAAGTAATTAAAAAATTTATTCATTATATCCAATTAGTTTTTTCTCCATTAATTAGAAATAATTATTTGTTTGCATAAGTTCTTTACTATTGTAATTTGTTTTCTTTTTTGTTGTTATTTTGTATTATTTTTGCTTTCATTTTTTTTCTCTCTCTTTTGGTTATTCTCCTTTTATTTATCTGCTCTATGTTTCTGCTTCTGCTTTTTGCATTTTTCTATCATCTTTTTTCTTTTATTAAAACTATCATTCAAACATTTTTTTTTCTTTTTTTTTTATATAGAATATGTCGTTACAAAAAAGCATCCGCTTTTGTGAAAGTCACTGCATTTATCCGAATATGTTTACCGATTACCATATTAGCCTTGGCTTAGTGTAAAAAAAATAGATATTTGTAGTTATAAGTGTCCTCGTATAAACTTTAATGTACTCTAATCTTGAGCTCTGAAGCAATGTCAACAACCTACTCGCTAGATGGCATCGCTTCCCACATAAGCGATGTCTTTTGCTAGAGAATTGTGTTTTTAATGCGTAAAACATGTACATTATCCACAAAAAATACAAAATTTTAGGAGATTTTAATGTTTTTTCAAATTACTTCTGGGAGACAGGAGTTGATATTAAAATCGGGGAGACTCCTGTGCAATATATAAATACATATATATATATATATATATATATATATATATATATATATATATATATATATATATATATATATATATATATATATATATATATATATATATATATATATATATATATATATATATATAAACTGGTTATGAAATGAATTTAGATCATAAATACAATATTTAATTACATTGATTATTTTTAATTTAACTAAGAATGCAGACTTCAGAATGCAGAAATGTACAATATTGTTTAAAAAAATGAAGCAATCGTAGCCAGTATATTTTGATCTAAAGTAATCAAAAAGGTGAAATAGTATTAAACAAATTTAATAATTAGCATAACAATTTAAACAAAGAAACATTGATCTTTTTATTTTTCAACTAAAATGTATCATGGATTTTTTTAAAATAAACTATATATGTGTCATAACATATATGTATACAAATGTAAACATAGTCAAATATGAGCAAAATCCTAATCAAAATGTAGTAGTTTAAAACAGTGTTAAAAGTCGAGAAGAAGAGCTATGTAAAGTTGAGAAGACTTATGTAAAAGCAACTGATTACTGTGAAATAAGTAACTAAAATCTGTCTTATTGTAAATGCATTTTTGAAAGACCTGAGTACCTGAGTATACTATTTTTTGAAACAGCAATTGATCATGCTAAGTTGCTGTGCCAAAGGATTTTTGAAGGAAGAATTTCGTTTTAAACATAATGTTGGAGGAAATGCTTGTTTTGGTTTGATAAAATGCTTGAATTATGCTTGAATTGGTTTGATGAAAGGCAGGAAATTACATTAGTAAATGCTTCAGGGTACCAAAAGGCTGAATCATTTACTAATCAGCTTCAGTTTTTTGTCTAATGGTGTCTAATAGTAAAGGACTGAAGTATTAGTAAGGTACTACTAATGCTTCAGTAATTCGGAATGGGCAATAGTAATAGATTCCTCTAATTATTGCCCGGTCTTCTTACTACTATTAGTAAAGTCTTTGAATTTTTAATTAACAAAATTTTAATATCTCATTTTGAGTGTAACAGCTTACTATTTAAAAATCATAATAGATTTTGATCTGCTTGTTCTATTGCTGAAATTTTTTTTTTATGTTAATTTGTCTCCCCATGGCCGAAAAGACTACTACAGACGAACCACTACACCACTTATGACTACTTAATTGTGGTTATAACCCTCTTTCAACTCTATGACACCAAAACACGAACCTTGATGAACAAGGCCACTGTGCTGAGAAAGCTGAGCGGTACTACCAGGTACTACCAATTTTAAAATTAAATTAATAAATTAAAATTGTTAACTGTAAAAAGAAAGGTTTTACTGTACATCTAAATTAATGATTTTCTTCATAATCTAACCTCTAAAATGTCACTTTTTGCTGAAGATGCAACTCTCATTTGTTTTTATATAGAATACTGTTTTCATATTTGGACTGGTTCTTCTAATGAGGTCTTTTCTTTATTTTACAAAAGCGCATTGTAAATATTTTACAAATTTAAAGGGTCCCTACAAAATTATTAAAGGTTATGCAAGGTTTGAAATTGTAAATATTGTTAGACCGGCTCTAGTTCCTAAACTTTTGTCCTCTTTTTCTTAAGGTTTTATCTTTTGCTATTATATACAAATATTATCATGATTTCTGCATAAGTGAACTATCATCACTTATTCTATTAATGAAAACTCTTAAAATAATTCAGTTGCATTGATTTACTCCAACTGTTTCTTCTTGCTTAATCTAGTTTTTTTCCTCAAAAATTAGTGCTTTAGAATTTCCTGAAGTTTTCCTGACACATTTAGTTTTTTAAATCTTTTGTCAACTGCTTTATTGCTCTTAAGGGTGTGTTGGAATAGTGTTGCCAAGTTTTGAATGTCGCAAATTTTGATTGTCAAAATTTAAAAAAGGAATAGTGATGCAAATTGTTGCATTATTGATTGTCGCATATCAGAATAAGGAATAATGTCAAAAATGAATTCAATGAATAGTGTTGAAAATAAAAAGAAAGGAATAATGTTTTACTATTTGCGACACTTCCTATTTTTTGTTTTCAACACTATTCATTAAATTCATTTGCGACACTTTTTTTTTGTTTGTTTTTGATGCTATTCATTAATTTCATTTGCGACTGTATTCTTTTTTTTTTTTTTTTTTTTTTTTTGCGACATTAGGCCTTTTTAATGTATTCGACACTATTCTAAAGTTCATTTTTCGACACTATTCCTGTCACCCTCTTAAGTTCTCCTCTTTGTTTTCTGTTAACTTCCAACTTTATTAATACTGCGTTGTGAAACAGAAGAAAAAAACCATGCGGTAGAATGAGGCTTGACTTTATACCCACAAGAAGAAATAAAAGCCTCCATTTTTGAAGGAGATTATATAGGAGATGCAAGTTTTTGCAGAGAGATGAAAGACATTTAATGTAGAAGAAGTACAAAATATAATTTTTAATGAGATCATAGCATGAGCTAAACAACCTAAAAGAGAACAAGGAAGGACTGCATCCAAAGCTTAAATCAAAGACAAGACACAAATCAAGGAGAGAAAATTTGATTAGGGTTATCTTTAAAACAAGTTGACCATGTGAGTTAGAGATTGAGAAAGATAAAAGTTTTAAGCTTTGAATTTAACTGGGTCAGTGTTGTACTTGAGTCAAACCATTCAGTGTGATGACCATTAAAGGTGCATAGCTATTACCATGAAGGCAAAACAAAAACCTGTGAGTCAAGTTGATCCAGCATTCAGGTCTACATCTGTTCCAGCTTTTTAGATGATAATTAATGTATAACTTAAGGCATTCAAAACATTACATGCAAATCATATAATGTATTAAATAAGACATGCTTACATACTTAAGGCATGCATATGTACCTATGGCATGCAATACTCATTAAGCATACAGCAAGTCTTTTAAATTAGAGCATAGAGGAGAGCTATATATATATATATATATATATATATATATATATATATATATATATATATATATATATATATATATATATATATATATATATATATATATATATATATATATATATATATATATATATATATATAGCTCTCCTATATATAGGGCATAGAGGAAAGCTATATATATATATAAATATATATATATATATATATATATATATATATATATATATATATATATATATATATTTGTGTAATTTAATTTTTTTTATAAGTAATCAAGAAAGTTCATTTATAAATTATAAAAATATTATGGGTGAATTCTAGGTATCACAGGATACCTCTAGATTCCCCCCCCCCTCCTGTATATTTATACACACATACACACAAATATATATGTTTGTGTGTGTGTGTGTGTGTGTGTGTGCATATATATATATATATATATATATATATATATATATATATATATATATATATATATATATATATATATGTATATATATATATATATATGTATATATATATATATATATATGTATATATATATATATATATATATATATATATATATATATATATATATATATATATATATATATTATATATATTATATATATATTATATATATATGTATATATATATATATATATATATATATATATATATATATATATATATATATATATATATATATATATATATATATATATATATATATATATATATGCACACACACACACATAGGGAAAAACGGGGCAAGATCAGAAATTGCATAATAAGTCATCTAGCCCCTGTCATGTGACCAAATGACAAGTTTATTTACTTTTTATTTTAATTGTTATTTCAAATTTTTCCACTTCCAAACAGAAAATTCATGCAGACAATGAATCTTTATAATAACATAAACATACTAACAAAGTATTACTGCTTCATGACTGATAGTTTTGCAATAACTTAGGGCTTTTAAAATGTTTACCTTTTTGCCCTGTCTTCCCCTGTATATATAAACACACACACACACACCTTTAGCTTTTTACTTAGCAGGAAAACATATGTAAAGAACAGATACTTATGGTATATTATTATCAATATTCCATAAGTTTTTATGCATTTAAACTGTCTCTGAAAGCAAGTGTTATTCAAAAAGAAAAAGTACATGTGTCAATTACCAGTCTTGATGCTTTGTTTTATTTTTAAATCACTTGTGTTTCTTTTTTTTAATTTGTCTATAATTATTAAATTTTGATATATTTTCTCACCTCAGCTTTTTTTTTATATAGGCGGTGTAGAAGAAGTTATAAGGAAAGAAGTTTGGGTTTTTCTTTTTGAACTCTATCCTTTTAATACAACAGCTAGGTTAAAAATTAAATTCTTATTTTATTTTGTTTTTTTTTTAATTGTATCTTGTTCAAATCACAGACCAGATAGTAACACTTATTAGGCGTCCTAATAATTTAATATTTTGCTTAAATTTTTCTTGCAACATTTTTATATTTACAAAAAAATCTTTTTTTTTTTTTTTTTTTTTTTCAATTTAACTTTTATAAATACTGAGTTTTATTTTAACATTTATTAATTTGAAAATTTTTAGAGGCTTGGATTAAATATTTTTATTTTATTTACATAATTTCTAAAACAATGAAAAAAAAAGTTAATTTGTTATTATTCTCACATGGTTTTTTTCTTGCCCTAGGTAAATAAATAGCCAAAGTAATGTTAAAAGTGATATTAAATAGTTTTATTTTTTTTAGAATTTAATTAAATTTTTTTGAAAAAGAGTAATATAATTAATTAGAAATGGTTATTAATATAAATGCTTTAAAAATAAACATTGTATCATTTACTTGTGCCATACAATCTATTTGAAAAAGACACCATCTGATTAAGATTTTGATGTTCAGTTTTCTTTATTTTCTTATTTTTAAAATTAAACATCTTTTTTTTTAACACTTTTTTACTTCTTGTCTTGATCTTAAACATAAAGTATATTTTTTATTTATTACAATTTATTTATATTAACTGTTTATTACAATTTATTATAATAAAACAATATAAATTATTTTTATTATTTGTTTTCACAAAGTATTTTACTTTAAAGGGCATATGCTCATTTGAGGAAGTTACTTGTTTGTTTGTTTTTTAATTGTTACAACCCTCTCTTAAAGGAATCCCAAAGTGCCGAGACAAGTTGTGTTTATTTTAAAGAGAATGTTAAAAAAAATGTTTGGGCAGAATTTTTTTAAGTAAAACAAAATAATAAATGTATGCCAACAAAAACAAACTTTGTTGTTTTACTCGAAGCTCGCTGTTTCCACAGTAGCTATTCTCTAAAAGTCTTTAAAATATATGCTGCAATCTACAGACTTTATAATTTATTCAAGCGCGTTTAATTTGAAAGAGTTTTAGTAAATGGCGTCATAGTAGAATTTTTTTTTAAATCAATATTATTTGTTTTGTTTTATTTGTTTTTTAAAATAGCCTTTATTATCGATCGTGTTAAAAAAACCCTAATACTTATATTTTTTACATTTCTTATAATTCTATAAATGTCAATGTTTACAAATTCAACCATACTTTTTTTTTTTTACATTTCTTAACAACTATAAATATCAATGTTTACAAATTTAGCCATTTCCCAAACTCTGTGATAGCTCTCAGAGAGGCTGATTCCATCAACAACTGTAAAATATCAAAGTACTAACAGTGCTATGTTGCGCATGAATGGTGTCCCTGTTTGTACTTTTGGTGTGTATTGCCAAGGCCACATCGGATCCCTTTGTTACGGCTTAGGGTTTATTAATAGTAATGAGGCAATTGCTTGGGCTAATAAACAGTGTACTGAGTACTATCTATGCACCTATATCTTTAGCACCACTTCACTCTATCACCTTTCTCTTTGTTCTATATCGCTCTCCTTCATCTCAAGACTGTACTCTTCTTAATATTATTTCTGAGCATATTGACTAAGCCCTCTCTCTTTATCCATCAGCCAATATTGTTGTTGTTGATGACTTTAATGTTCATCACACTGAATGGCTTGGCTCTAGTGTCAGTGACTCTGCAGGCATTAAAGCCCACAACCTTTGCCTTTCTCAATCCCTAACTCAAATAGTCAACTTTCCAACTCGCTTTCCAGACAACCCGAATCATTTACCTTCTCTACTCGACTTATGTCTTGTTTCTGATCCTAGTCAGTTTCTCTACATTCACCCTTAGGTGCCTCTGATCACTGTTTGATCTCTCTTAAACTATTATCTCATTCTTCTTTATCATCAGACTCCCCCTATCATTGCACATCTTACAACTACCTTAAAGCTGACTAAGGCTCTTTCTGTGATTTTCTTTGTGATGGCCCTTGGGTAGAAATATTTTGTCTTCCTGTTGACAAATGTGCTTCTTGCATAACTTTGTGGATTCAGGCTGGCATGGAATCCTTTATTCCCTTTTGACAATTCCAGGTCTAGCCTCAGTCTTATCCATGGTTTTCCTCACATTGTGCTGCTGCAATTGCCAATCAAAACCATTACTTCCATATCTATCACCAAAACAATTCTCCAGAAAACAGACGTCTGTTTATTACTGCTAGAAACCATTGTAGAAAGGTTTAGTCTAATGCCAAAGCCCCCTATTCTCAGATCATGAAATCTTGTATTTCATCTCAAAAATTAGGCTCTCGTGTCTTCTGGAGAATCTTTAATAGTATCAATAATAAGGGCAAGTCTGTAATTCCACCTTTTTTGTATGGTTCAAACTTTGTCACCTCACCTAAAGACAAAGCTGAATTGTTTGCTAAGATCAATATCATCTCTTGATTCCACTAGTTGCGTTCTACCTGATATAGCCGTCAAACAGGTTGATCCATTGCTCGACATCCGTATCACTCCAGTTTCTATATCTAAAGTGATTTCCTGCTTAGACACTTCTACAGCTTGCGGCCCGGACAACATATCTGTTATAGTCTTGCAGAAGTGTTCTGCAGAGCTATCGTCTATCCTTTCAAAACTATTCAACAAGTGCTTATCAGAGTCTTGTTTTCCAGCCTGCTGGAAAGCAGCATCTTTTATCCCTATTTTTAAAAATTCTGGAGAGCGATCTGATTTGTCTAACTACCGTCCCATTAGTCTTCTTTCTATCATAAGCAAGGTTTTTGAATCTTTAATTAACAAACACTTAATGTCTCATCTTAAATCTAATAACTTACTTTCTGATCATCAATATGGATTTCGATCTTCTCATTTTACGGCTGATTTGCTAACAATAATAACCGATACGTTTTATCATGCATTACATAAAGGCAAAGAGGTTAAGGCCATCGCTCTCGACATTTCTAAAGCGTTTGATAAAGTTTGGCATGCTGGTCTTCTCCATAAACTTTCTCCTTATGGTGTATCTGGAAACACCTTTAAGATTATTGAATCCTTCCTTTCCAATTGTAGTATAAAAGTTGTCCTCAATGGATAGCACTCTTTTCCATATCCTGTAACTTCAGGGGTTCCTCAAGGTTCAATCCTTGCCCCTATACTCTTTTTTTAATTACATTAACAATCTTCCAGATATTCTCACATCTAAAGTGGCATTGTTTGCTGATGATACTACCATTTATTCTTGTCACGATAAGAAGCCAACTCCCTCTGATTGCTTGCAGGGGGCATTTGAGCTTGAAAAGGGTCTCACTTCTGCTACAGCATGGGGCTCACAGTGGCTGGTGAACTTTAAATCAGATAAAACTCAATTTTTTTTAGCCAATCATTGCAATAATTTAAACCTTCCTATATTTTTGAACGGTATTGTACTTGGTGAGTCATCTACACTTCATCTTCTAGGATTAACTCTTACTTCTGATCTTTCTTGGAAACTGTATATCAAATCCATTGCAAAATTAGCATCTGCTAAAGTTGCATCTCTTTATCGAGCTCAACACATTCTTACTCTAAAGTCTATTCTCTATCTCTATAAATCTCAAATCCAGCCTTGTATGGAATACCGTTGCCATATCTGGGGTGGATCCTCTAATGATGCCCTTTCTCTTTTAGACAAGATGGAAAAACGCATTGTAAACATAGTTGGACCTGCTCTTGCAGCCAACCTTCAACCTTTGTCACATCGCTGTACTGTTGCTTCTCTTTCTCTTTTCTACAAATACTATAATGGGCACTTCTCTAAAGAGCTAGCGTCTCTTGTGCCATCTACTAAAATTCATTCTCGTGTTACTCGTTATTCAGTTAAGTCTCATATTTTTTCTGTTACTGTTCCTAAGTGCTACAAAAACTCTTATTTGTCTAGTTTTTTTCCTCGAACATCAGTTCATTGGAATTCGCTTCCTTCATCTAGCTTTCCTGATTCATATAACTTGCAATCTTTGAAGACTTTTATCAATTGTTATCTTGCTCTACAATCTTTATCTTTTCTCCAGTAACTTCCAACACTAATTAGTGGTAGCTTCCAGCCTTGTTGGAAGCGAAGATGTTTAAAAAATAATAATCTCTATAAAAGTCAATGTACAAATTTTATTGCCATACTTATTGTTGTACTTATTGCCATACTTATTGTCAAGAAGAAAGTTACAGTAAAAAACAAGATTTTTATTTACTGTTACCTCTTTGAAAAATTTTATGAAATTAAGGTATAAATGGAAATATGCATGCATATACTATATCATTTATACTAATAACAAAATTTATTTAATATATACTATATATATATACTAATAACAAAATTTCTAATATTTCTAATTTTTTAAAGGCTTTTAATACATTGACAATGAGCACTGATATTTGAGAAAAAATGTTGTTTTATATATGTTTAAAATGTTTGTTTTTTTCAGAGAACGTGACATATTAGCTGTAGAAAACACTGTGCGGTATGAAGCCATGAAAATACGTTGGAAAACACTTCTTAAAGGTTTAGTAAATGATTACGAAAGTGTTTATTATTGCCCAAAATGGTTTACTGGATGTCCTAAAAATGCTAATGAGTATACTGAAACATCAGGTATTACGGAAGCTGTGATTGTAAATAGTACTGCAGAAGTTCATGCCGATATAATTGAAGAGTGTAATCTGTCTTGCCCAAATGACTATAAAAATGTGGGTCAATTTGAGACAGATCATTTAAAATCAAACTATATTGTTTCTAATTGTTCTGAAACGTTTCCTTGTCCTTTATTATCTTCAGACATAGTTAAAAAAGTACCATCTACAATGGAAGGTGCCACCACAGTTCATGACTGTTATGAACAAAAAAAATCTAATTGTAAAGAACTTTTGAATATCATTGATTGTTGTATTGACCAAAATGCTTGCCTTAAGCATAACATTTGTAGTGAATATAACCCTTTTAGTGATGATGAAAAACATTTAAATATTGAAAGTATTCAACATGTTGAACTTTATGAAAGTTTAAATTCAGAAGATATAAGCAAAGCACTTGCTGATGCTATGATTGAGTACACAGAATCTGATGAAAAAAAATCTCTACTTTCTGGTTTTGATAGCTTTGATCTATTAAGTGAAGATGTTGTATCTTCAGTAAAAACTTGTAAAGAAAGGACTAAGAATATAAAGACTTTTGGGGGAAATATAGAAACATTTTTAAATAAAGATTTTGAACCATTAAAAAAATTGTTAAACAATCCAGAAAGTAAAAAATGTTTTTCTTCTCAAATAGAGCATATAAACAATACATCAGATGATTTTTTGGATACTTCTTCTTTTACTGACCCTTTTGAAGATCCTATGTTGCAAAAAAGTAAAAATATGCAAGAATCATTGTATTCGAAATCAGAAAATTTTAAATCCATTGACTTGAGTGATCTTCCTCCTCCAACATCTTCTAAATCTATTGATTTAAGTGATCTTTCTCCTCTAACATCTTCTAAATCTATTGATTTAAGTGATCTTTCTCCTCTAACATCTTCTAAATCTATTGATTTAAGTGATCTTCCTCTAACATTTTTTAAACCTATTGATTTAAGTGATCTTCCTCTTCTAACATCTACTAATATTATTTCTAATCAAAATGTTTTATCTAATCATATTCATAAAAAATCAAAAAAAGAATCATCTGCTCCATTTGATGCTTATGATTCAGAGTATCATAATAAATCAAATAAAAATTATTCATCTGCTATAGCTCCTTCCTATTTTAATGATAATAGTATATTTAAGCCCATAAGCCCAAAAAAAGACTGCATAAATTCTAGTATAGATTGCTCTATAAGTCCAGAAACTTCATTCATTTATGATGACAGTATCCATAATGGTTCCCTTGAAAATAACGAAAGAGAAGATTTTTCTGGTTCAAGAGAATCACCAATTTTCGACAATTCTGTTAATGAAATGCTTATCAAATATGAAACCGATCGAGATGGGATTAAGTCACCAACGGGAGAAGTTCTAGATAATCTTCCACCTTGGATTGCTCAAATGATTAAAGCAAGCACTCCACCTCAACCGTTGACTAAGCTTAAACGAGCCAAATCATTAGTTAGAGCAGAAACAAGCAATAGAAGGTACACAAGGCTAAACAGCTTTGATTCAGCATTACCTTATGACAATAATTTACTTGGAATTGTGGAAAATGCAAATAAATATCTTTTAGAGCAAATGCATCTTCATACCGAAAAAGTAGGAGCAGTTTCATTGTCGCAAGTTGTTGCAGATGTGCATTCACCAAAAGAAACTGTAAAAAAATCTGATACATCAGTTTTAGATATAATAGGGGCCCAAGGAATACCTAATCAAAATGATGATTCGTTTTTAGTAGACACTCCAAAATTTCAATTTATTTTAAATAATAAGGACTTTAATGACAGTTTAAATAAATCTGTTAACTCTGATTTAAATTCATGTCCGTATTGCAATTTTGATCCTGCTCATCCTCCTAAAATTATACTTCCTTCATTAACAGCACTTGGAGAGGAACAGCTTAAATTTATAGAAATACAAGCTCAAGTAAGTTTTATGTGTGTATGTTTCTCCTAAAAAGTTTTCAATGTTTTTACTTTTTACTGTGTTTACTTTCGATGTGTTTAATTTTTTAAATTGATATGAAGTAGAGCAAAATTGTGTTACTTGTAATTTTTTAACTTTATTGAAGTTTTCTGAAAAGTAATTTGTTTACATTATCTCTTCAATATTCAATGTTGAATATCTAATTCAATTCAATATTTAAAGTTCTATTTTATAGCAACAAAATATTTTATTGAACTGATTAATGAACTTACTTTTCTTGTATTATATTTTTGGTGAAGATTTTTTTTATGTTGCTTTTATTTTTAAAGAGTAATAGAATAATTATGTTGGCATATATTTTTAAATTTAGAGGCCATTATTAAAGTTTTATTTAGGTTTTTGCAGCCAGACAGCCCTATGATGAAAAAATGATATCTGCATCTATCCGTGTCATTGATAAAGATGTACCAAGAACAGATAGAGAGTTGCCACTCTTTAAGTAATCTTTGTTTACTTTAATCATAATATATATAAAAAACAATTTTCACTTTACAGTATTCATTTTAGTATATCACATATTGCATTTTTACATATTCTTAATTGCAAAAAACCCATAATTTTTTCCAGATATTTATTAAAAAATATTTTCTGAAATTTTTCGAGATATTTTTGGGGAAAAATTTTCAGAATTTTAAAAATATGACCTGGATGATCAATGATCTATATATATATATATATATATATATATATATATATATATATATATATATATATATATATATATATATATATATATATATATATATATATATATATATATATATATATATATATATATATATATATATATATATATATTTATTCATCTAATCTAAAAAGTAATAAATTAGCATAGTTACATCATTAATGAATATATGTCAGACTTTATATAAGGTTAGGTTAATTCTATCTATATGCAGTTTATATTTACATTAAAAAAAATTACTTTATTAATGATGTAATTATGCTAATTTATTATTTTTCCAAGATTAACATTAACATTTATGTTGATTTTTATCCTCTTTTAAAAATTCATTTTTTTGTAATTGTAATTTTTTTAGAGATGACAATAATCCTGGCTTGGTAAAATTAAGAGATTCTTTGCTGACATATGCTTTTTTTCATCCAGGTAAACATTTTTTACTTTCTAAGCATATGACTATAGATTGTAGATTTTTAAGCATTTGACTATAGATATGTAGGTTTTTAAGCATGTGACTATAGATCATAGGTTTGTAAGCATATGACTATAGATTGTAGGTTTGTAAGCATGTGACTATAGGTTGTAGGTTTGTAAGCATGTGACTATAGATTGTAGGTTTGTAAGCATGTGACTATAGATTGTAGGTTTGTAAGCATATGACTATAGATTGTATAAAAAAAATTTCTGCTCTTTAGTAAAATAAATTTATTAATTTTGAATTTTTAATTTTCTCTGTTAATGAAATCCTGTTTAACTTTTTTAAATTGTATGATTTAAAGAGGTGGGGTATGCTCAAGGAATGAATGACATAATGAGTCGTTTTCTCTTTGTAATGGATACAGAAGCAGAAGCTTATTGGATGTTTGTCAATTATATGGAACATTTTAAAAAAGATTTTATGGAAGAAGGAATGTTAAGAAAAATATGTAAGTTTAAAAAATCAAAATTTTTTTTATGACCATTTTTTAAAGAGTTTTTACATAATAACATCTTTGACTTTTGATTCTAAAAACTATCTGTAATCTATGCTGTACTCCAGTAACCAAAACTAAACATTTTTGCCATATTATTTGTAAATCTATTGAAAATATATCTTAATATAGATGATAACATACATATTGATTGTGCATGTAAAAATAATCAACATGCACAGTTTGTAAGTTTATCTTAAGTTTGTAAGTTTATCTTAAGTTGGTAAGTTAATATTAAGTTCATAAGTTTATATTAAGTTCATAAGTTTAACTTAAAGTTCGTAAGTTTATCTTAAGTTTGTAAGTTTATATTAAGTTTGTAAGGTTTATAAACTACATGTTTATAAACCTTACAAATAAGGTTTTATGAAATGAAAAAATTTGTTTGAATCAGAAAATTAATCTAATATACGAGGTGTGTTCAAAAATTAAGGTGACTTTGTATTTTTAAGAAAAAACATTTATTTATTTATTAATATTTATTTTGTCCTCTTCAAAGTAATCCCCCTCAGATACAATACACTTATGCCAACGGTTTTTCCAATCCTCAAAGCAATTCTCACAAGCACTTTTCGGTATAGCCTTGAGCTCTTCCAGCAATGCAGTCTTTATCTCTTCAATCGTTGCAAATCTACGTCCTTTCATAGGTCTCTTTAGTTTTGGGAACAAGAAAAAGTCACATGGGGCCAAATCCGGTGAATATGGTGGCATGATTGTGGTGTTGTTTTTGGCCAAAAAATCTCTCACAAGCAAAGATGAGTGAGCAGGGGCATTATCGTGATGCAAAAGCCATGAATTGTTTTTCCACAACTCTGGATGTTTTCTTTGTATTGCTTCTCGCAAACAGCGCATAACTTCAAGATAATACTGTTTATTGACCGTACAACCATATGGTAAGAACTCCTGATGCACCACGCCATGGTAATAGAAGAAAACAGTGAGCAAAACTTTGACATTTGATCGAACTTGGCGTGCTTTTTTTGGTCTTGGCTTACCTGGACTCTTCCATTGGGACCATTGGGCTTTTGTTTCAATATCATAACCATATATCCATAATTCATCACCAGTTATGACTCTTTTGAGAAAATCTGGGTTGTCGTTGATGTTATTCTACAGTTCTTGAGCGATGCTCATGCAACGGTTCATTTGGTCAAAATTGAGCAATTTCGGAACAAACTTCGCTGACACACGTCTCATGCCCAAAACGTTAGAAAGAGCTTCATGGCACGAGCCAAGTGATATACCAACATCATCAGCAACTTCTCTGATAGTGATTCGACGATTTTCCAAAAAATTTTCTTCACTGCTTGAACATTTTCATCAGTTGTTGACATGGTTGGGCGTCCAGAGCGAGGCTCGTCATTGGCATCTTCCCGGGCATCTTGAAAGAGTTTGTAACACTTGTAAACATTTTTTTTTAATCAGAACAGTTTCACTGTATGCCACTGTCAACATTTCAAGTGTTTTGGAGCACTTTATTTTATTTTTTACACAAAATTTGATGCAAATCTTTTGATCCATATTTTTCAATAGTAAAAAATTGCCTAGCACGCAAAACACTTATAACCTTTACGCCTCTCACAACCAAACAAAAAATGCTATACATTTGAAACTTGGTACAGATGTTCGGGAAGAGTGTACCAACATGACATAACAAAAAAATCGATAATCGAAAGTATGTTGCCAGCGAAATTTGAAAAGTCGCCTTAATTTTTGAACACACCTCGTATAATTAAAAAAATCATAGAATTTCTAAACAATTCAATTAATAAATAATTTTACATCATTTAAAAGTATATAATATACTTTTAAATGATGTAAAATTATTTATTGGTTGAATAGAACTATATAGCAATTAATACTAAACAATTTCCTAAACAATTCAATTTATAAATAATAATCTATATAGTAATTAATAATTTCTATATGTACCATGTATAAATGTATGTATAAATGTGAATGAGTCCACAGAGAAGTATGAGAAAAATTCTCAGTAAAGTTTTTAAATTAGTATAATTTTTTTAGCACTCTTGGAACAACTTCTAATGAAAATGGACAGAGAGCTATATGATGTACTTCAATCTACAGACATGGGTTTAATGTTTTGTCACAGGTTATTTTCTTTATCAATATATATATATATATATATATATATATATATATATATATATATATATATAACTATTTTAATTTAACATATAAAGATAGCTTTGTCTAGATAGCTTTATGCCTTTTTGAAATCAAATATTTAACATAATCATGTTGTTTTTTATAATTGATATTATGCTAATAAAATTATACAAACTTTTATCATTTTTGTTTTTTGCTTTTAAAATAAGTTTTTTTTGTAGCATGGCTTATTTGAGCTTAATAAGGTTGTTAAAAACATTTTTTTAAATCTTTTGAATGTCATCTAAAAATCATTGAAAATCATTTTTTTGTGCTTTTTATATTAAAATTATTTTTGTTTAGATGTTATTCATTTTTATTATTATATTTTTTATTATTATATTTTTTGTATTTTTACTTTATTATGTAGTGGTTGTTTTTCTGAAACTTTTTTTCAATAAAAGAATTATAAATGTTTGTAATTGAATAATTTGAACGTACAAAATAAATACAAAATAACAAATGTATTTATTTGTAACATAAAATTATGCATTGTTTTATTTAATAATTTCACAAAAAATAAAATTGTAAGATTTATATAACTAATAAACAAATAAAGCATAACAAATATAAATAATTTTGATAAAAATTGTTGTTTGGTTATTTTTTTTAAACAAATTTACAGATTTCACAAGCTTCTTTTCACAAAATTCAAATATTATGCAGAAACCATTATGTTAAATAATTTGATTTTGAAACTCTTTTTTATTGTCTGGTACTGTTCTCATTGTCTGTTACTCTTTGTCTGCTGTTCTCATTGTCTTTAAATAATTCTCTGTTGTAAGTTGTTTTAAGATCTTTGATAAAATTCGAAAAATGTTTCAGTAGAATATTGTATTTGATTGAATCAGTTATTCATAAAATTTTAGATTGAACATTAAGTAAGAAATCATAATTTTTACTTTACATAAGCATTATTGAGTATCAAAGCATTTTACAGACTGATATTCTGATCTTAGTGGGTTGACCATACCTATAAACTTTTAAGAAATTTAAATAATACACTTGTGCTGAACATTAAGTTTAGGTTTTTATATCAGTATTTGCTTTTTGAAGTTTTTTGACAATAACATAAATGTTTTATTTGTATAATTTTTTCTTGAACTTAGAAAATAGTTTTAAGAAATAAGTTTAAAACATCAGCAAAAATTTAATCTGTAAAATATATACTTTTTCCATAGATGGCTACTTTTGAATTTTAAGCGTGAGTTTGATTACAAAGAAGCCCTTCGTTTATTTGAAATAACCAGTAGTCGACACTTGGAAGTTTCATCACTTGAAGCAGAAATGGAACGTTATAAAGAAAGAGCAAAGGAGTTTGAAAATAACAGTATTATTTTGTCTTTTTTTGCGTAAATTAACTTTTCTTAAGTTAATATGAAGTGTTGTAAAGAAATCATTTTTTAATATTTTACAATTTTCTTGCTCTTTTTTGAAATAGCTATTCAATGAATTTATGATTTATAGTCAGGGGTGTGGAGTCATAAAAAAAAAGTACCAACTCTGACTCCAATCGTTGAAATTTTCAGAGTATGACTCCGACTCCAAAGCAAAATTTTTGAAAAAGCAATAATTACAAAAAAAATTTTTTGCCAAATATATGAAAAATTTCTTGAAGATTAAATATTTTGTTCATGCACGTGCTGAGAAGTTTTACTATTGGAGTCGGAGTCACCATTTTGTTTAGCGACCCTGACTCCGCAAAAAATGTCACAACTCCATGACTCCGACTCCACAGTCCTGTTTATAGTGGCTATAGAGCTCAGTTAGTTAGAGCGTCAAACAAAAAATTAAAACCCAGACTGTTGTACAATACAGGTTCAAATCCTGCCACTGACAACTCAGCGCTTGAGTAGTACTTCTGTACGCAAAAATGTTGGTCAATAACGGATGCTACTTTGGATAAAATAAAGTGATTAAATAGTTATTATAGAGAGCTGGAATGTTATTTGCAATGCTTATAACAAATCAGGCTTGTAGCTTACGTAAAGCAACTAGATTTGTAGCTATTTCATAAACTTTTATTTTAAAACAAAGAATTGAAACAACTGAAATATACCTTATCACATATTTCATAAACAGGGGATTTTATTATACATATTTATTTTGATAAGTTATTTTTAAAAATTTAATTGTGTTGAAAAATATGTTTCATATTCAGGTGCAGGAACACATCAAGAAGAAATTTATTTATCTCCAGAATATCCTTTTGATATTTTTGTATGCGTTGCAATGTTGATGGAATGTCGTAACTTAATCATGGACACTGCAAATGATATATGTGCTATTTATCATATTCTCTCAAAGTTTGTTATTTTTCATTATCTCAGTTTGTTTTGCATTCTATTAGATTAATTAAATTTTGTTGTATTTTATTCTATTAACATTGTTTTATATAAAACATTTTTAAATTGTATTTTTATATTTAAAATTTTATATAGTATATATATTTAAAAAGTTTTTTCAAAACTCTGTTTTTAAGACAATTTTTTAATTTTTGTTGTAAAGTTTTTTCCAAGAAAAATGTTAGATTGAAGTAAATATAAAAAGTTTTAGATAATCAGATGTTTTGAATTTGTTGTTGATTGAATGTTTAATCAAATGTTAGTTTTGGTTTGATTTTGTTGTTGATTGAATGTTGAATCAGATGTTGATTTCGGTTTGATTTTGTTGTGTACAACCTTCAGTTCTCTTGATGTATAGTTGTACCACTTGCGGTTGGTTTTTGTACATAGTTTTTGAAATTGTCTAAAAGATTTCTTTATATCCTTAGTTTAAAATATCTATGTGAGTAAAATCAGACAAAGTACTCAATATTCAACTTTCTGTTCTTATAGTAAGATTGGTAATATTTGTAGACTAGTTTATAATTTTTTTAATACTTATAAATAAAAAGTTATAAACAAGAAACTATTTAGTAACTAAGCAACCCACAAATAAATTGTCCAAAGATATTTTATAATCATTTTTAAAAATTATTCTTATTTTAGTTTATTAAATTGAAATGATTTTATAATTTATTCTGGTTATTAAGGTTTATGCATTTTGTTATATCATAAGATAACATTTTTTCATATCATGAGACAAAATTTTGTTATATCATAAGATAACATTTTGTCATATCATAAAGTAATATTTTGTATTATTGTGAAATGAAATACTACAAAATTTAAATTAAAAAACATTTTTTTGTTTGTTTCTTAGTTTTCTTTTAAATTAAGATTACTTATAATTATTAAAACATAAAAAATAAAAAATTAAAATAGTTTTATTTTTTTTAGGTTACCAACAACTCTTGATTTAAGTAAAGTTCTTCAAAGATCTGAAGAGCTTTTCTATCAGTATTGTAGAAAAACTGTTGTCGATTGCTTTCAAGTTATAGACGAACTTGAAATAAAAGATTTCAAAAGGAATAAATTTTCATTTAGATAGTTTTGTTTTACTTTCTTTCTTTTTTTTGCTGACTTTTTTGAGTTTTTGTTTTTTTATTTATTTTTATCTTCTAAACTTCTTGCAACATCTTTTTTTATGTTTTTTTTTTAATCTATTTCTATGTATTTGTTCCTCTCAACTTAAACAAAAAAGTTTTTAGTTTTGTTGTTTGTTTTTTATTTGTTGTTGTTGTTGTAAACATTTAAAAAAGAAATAATTTTATAACTTTTAAATAAAATGAATAATTTTTTTGCTAAATTTTCTTTTGACTTTGATGTAATATTATTTTTATTAAATTTTTTTAGTGTAAAAAAGTGTATACATTTTTTATCTTAATATTTAAATTTTTTGTATTTACGCCAAAATATCTTATTTTTTTAAAAGAAAACAGTTGTATTTACTTATGCAAAAAATTTTTAATTAAAAAATAATAGTTTCAAAATTTTACTTTAGCAAGGTAGTTTTTTTTTAAAATAAAATTTGTATATGAAAATAGATGTTTGCCAATCTTTCTTTTTATTTGTTTGATTCTAAATAGAGTCCTTAGCTTAATATTAAAAATATATTCTTTTTAATTTTTATATTTGCTTTGTTTTTGTTTTTTTATTTAATTTTTATGTATACTTTGTTTTTATTTAGTTTATACTTATTCTTATTAAAAATCATGCAGAATAGCTTTTTAAAAAATGTCTTGTTTTGCATGTGCAGCAAAATTTAGCTGGACTAAAAAAGAGGTATCACATTGCAGCATGCTTTCCATTCCAATATGTGTGTTCATGTGGAAATGCACATCAAGTTTTATTTTCACTAACATAATTTTCAGAATTTGTTATATCATTTTTTGCTTTTTTTTTTATAGTTTGATTGTAAATACTGCCACAAAGTATTCTGCAAAGATTGTTTAAAAGAAGTTCCTGGTTCTCAGAAGGAAAATGGTTGTAAAAAGTGCTTGAGTAGCAAGTAATATTTCTAATGATTTGTAAAAGTAACTTTTTTTTGTTACATTTGTAGCATGTAACCCTTTCTCATGCTTCATAATTTATTTTATACAGTGTAATAAAGTTTAAAAACTTTTCAAGTTTAGCTCAGTGGAAAGAAAATCCAAACACATATGTAGGCCCTTCAATGAAACAAGCTTATGAAAATTTAGGTATATGTGTTGGTCCGCCTATGAAACCAGCTAATGAAAATGATCCAGATTTTCTTATTAAAATGCGACTTAGTAAGCTAAAAGAAACCCGAGAACCAACAACAGGTAAAAAATATGTTTTTTTTTCTTTCTTTTTTTTTGTATGTTACAGGAAACTTATGTTATCCTGAAAGGTTAAAATTGAATACACTGTAATAGAAACATTTTTGTAATTACCATAAAAGTAAGGTTTATGTCCAGTTGCTTATAGGGCAACTAAAACATTGTCTTAATAAGTTACAAACAGGCATCTGAACAATAATTTAACTTCTAAAAAACTACCTAATATATTTGATAAAAATCATATAAATTAAAAGTATCTTACATTGCTTCTGGATTGATGGCTTTTTGTTTTTTTAATCTAAGGTGTATAGTTAAAAATGTTAAAACGTCTTTTGCTCCATTTTTTATTGTGCTGAAACTACTGTCTATATTTACAGAACTGGTAAAAAAAAAACAATTATTAAAAATATGTTTGAAAACTTTCAAGAGTTTAATAATCAACCAATTTCTTTTCAAGATTTTGGGGAGGGAGCTTTTTTGTAGTTCTTGTGGGCTTTAAAAAAATCCGGTCTGGTAAGATAACCTCAGGCTCTTAACCTTAGTAAGATATTGGTGTTTAAAACATCTCTTTTTGTTAAAACTTTATAAGAACTGGTCAGTTTTTTTAATTTCAAAGTCAAAATGTTTATCTTATAATGTTTTAACAACTCATAAACATGCAATTCAAGAAAAATATTGTTGACATTATAGGAGGTTGTAAGTTAAAAATTCAAGAAAAATATTGTTGACATTATAGGAGGTTGTAAGTTAAAAATTCAAGAAAAGTATTGATATTATAGAAGGTTGTAAGTTTCAATAAAATTTTGATTCTGAGTAATTTTTTAAAACTTTCTGATTAGACTGGATTGATTTAGAATAGATTTTTCTAATTTTTCCAATTGGACTGTGTTAACACAGAGTTCAAAGCTGCATTATTTTTCTGTGTAAACTTTAAAAAAATCAGTTTAAAACAATATTTATTCGTAAATATATTTTAACTCATTGTTTTATAAAAGCCTGAACACTAATTATTTTAACTGAATCCTCTATGCATAAAACAAAAATTGAATATTCTAGACATATTCTTTGGCTTACAAACCTTTTTTCTTATTTGTGCAGCAAAGGATGTGTATAACATACACATCTGGCATCATTAATACACATCATACCTACATATTAAGTAGGTAAGAAATAAAGTTGCAAAATAAAATTGTTTAACTTTAATAAGATAATATGCTTAACTTGTGAAGCCCTTACATTAAGATTGTTCATAAAAATAATTTTTTTTTAAATGTCTAATCTAACCCCTAAAATTTGTTTAACATAATAAAATAAAACTGGTTTTGGTAAATTTTTGAATAAAAAATATTTTCAGAGATTCCTCAAGACCTTTGAGTATTTAACAGATTCCTAATATTATCAAGCTCTTTAAAAGTATTTCAACTTCGGTCTCAAAAAAGTAAAATTATATCAAAGTTTAAAATAAGTTATTTTAAACAGAAAAGTATTTAATGCATTTGATTATTCACAATGTTGCAACTTTTTTTTTAGTATTTAAAAAAAAAAGTGCATTATTAGTAATCTTTTGTTAAAATAAAAACATTTTGAATTTTTATTCATGTGTGCGTATTTTTAACCTAGTAGGCTTCTTTTTTTATTTTTTTTATTTTGTTTTGTAAAATATTGTGATAAATGTAACTTTAAATGGTTTTGAAAGTTTTTTGTTAAAAAAGTTACTTTAAAGATCAATGCAAATTACATTAAAAATTTTATTTGTAAATACTAATAATTCTCTGGTTAACCAGGCAATTTACTAATATTTTAAATTTCAGATTCTCTGAGAGTTGTCCAGTACTGCTGAACAACTGCTAAATGAAAAAAATTAAATGATTTATTTTTTAATAGATTTTTCTATTGCTGAGAAATTTAGCAGTGTTTATGGGCGAAACCCCCAGTCCACATCATCTAAGGTATTGTTTGATTTTGTTGCTTGTTTGTTGTTAGTTTTTGTAATTTTATTTAGCTAAGTAATAACTTCTATTTATAGATTATTTTTCCAAATCAAGTCAAAAAAACTGATAATGAAAAAATCAAAGATTTACTTCAACAAGTTAAAGATGAACTTATTATGGAGGAACAAAATCCTGTCGAGACAATGGATAATAAAGTTCAGGATATTGAAAACAGACTACTTAAATTAAAGGGAGTTGATCCAGGTACAATAGAAAGAAATTTTTAAGACTTAAGTTTAGAACTTGATATATTTCAAGTTTTACTTTTTGTTTCCTTCTGTTTCATTTTTATTTTTTCCGTATTTGCTTAGGTTAAATATTGGAGCTTTTTTTGAAGAGCCCATAATTTGAATGTCATGGCATATAATTATAATTAAATTTTTATTCAGGTCAATATAGGGTTAGTGTTAAATACAATAATTTTTTGTTCAAATATTGATGTGCATATTGTCTAGATTGTGAATCTATATTGTTTAAAATAATGTTTATTAATGTATTTTGGCTTTGTTGTGTTTTGCGTGTTTCGAATTTAAAATGTGTAATGCAATAAGATTTGAAATTTCATAAAATTCTTTTTATTTGCTTTTTATATTTTTGTTGTCTTTATATATTTTTACTTTTTTAAATAAAAAAAAACCAGCTTAGTTTAAAAAATTAATTCAACATAATGTAGAAATGTTATTATGTACAAACCTTGTGTATGTTTAAAGATATTTTTATGCTGGTTATAGAAGTGCATAAATCTTTTATCAAAGAAACTAATTCTTTAGAAAAATCTAGATGTCTCCCCTTTCTCACCAAAGTTGCAACACAAATCTAATTGTAGTCCAATGTGTTCATTTATTTTAGTTATAGCACTGTCTCTTTCATTTTGTATTGGTTCACCAAATGGTCATTTTTCAGCCCAAAGCCTTTAATCTATATGACACCAATACAGTAGTTTTTAAAATTCATTTATGTATGAATGAGTAATACATATGCTTTATTATTCATGTTTGGTTTATGATTTTCATTCAGTCCTTTTTGTGCGGCAAAATCTCTAGTTTTAGTAGGAATAATACCATCTTCATTAACTAGTTTTTTATACAAAATCCATATTTCATATCCTTCACAAACTCTTTTAATATCTGTTCATTCAGTAGATTCAGTAGATTTTGTTTTGCTAAGTATACAATTTTTACCTCCAAGTCAGCTGATAAGTCGTTTAAATTTTTAACCCTTCATCATATCTTGAATATGAATTTTTACATTGATGTAATTTTTGCTTAACAGACAGCATGTTCTTTTGACATTTAATTCTTCTCTTGCATTATCTGTAATTAGGATAGTAAGATCTAGCAAATCTTTATTAGGTTCTGTTTCCTTTATCAAAAATGCAGGGCATAATGCATCTGGTGAATAATTTTGTCACAAGTGTTTTTTCTATCTCAATGGCATATTAGTTTTAGGGGAAAAAGTCTGTTTTGAAACATATTTGATTTACTTTTTATTTCATTGATACTTGCTGGCATGCTCCATTACAACCATCTCTCACATTTGGTACTCATCATTATTTACTGGAATTAAAGAATCTTTAATTATATTCAAAATATAATAAATTTTCATTCTTTCAAGTTCTTTGTATCAAATAAAAACACCTTTTCTATCCAAGACCTAAGTAATTGTAGGCTGGAGGTTTTTCCTTCCTTTAAGTAAATCACTGGTTGTTAAAAAAAGCTTCTTTTTTAAGCAAAAAGAAATCATAAAAGGCAAGCTATATATAAACACCTCTAACTGAGGTGTTTATATATAGCTTATATTTAACTCTATACACTCATTATTGTTGTTTATATTATTTAAAGGTTCCTTTGTTCTTTGCTTCTTCATCTTATTAACTAGTTCTGTAGAAGAACTAGTTAATAAGATGAAGAAGCAAAGAACAAAGGTTTTTTTGTTTTGAAACACGCCGTTTTGTGATTTAAGCATCATCTACTTCATAAATAACATTTTTTGATGTGAAAGTATAAATATCCATATCCATCTTTCTTTCAGACATTTATAATGTTTTCATTCTTAAATGTCCTCAGTTGCCCTTTGAGTATTTTAAAAGAAAAATGTTATTATGTTATAAAATATTTTTTAAATGTATGACACAGTAAAGGCAAGTTAGCACTTTTGACAAATCTTAAAATTTAATCTAGTGTTTATTTAAAAAAAAAGTGCAAATTTTCAACAAAATTACTTATACTTAGTTTTAACAAAATTATAGTTTTAACAAAATATATAAATATAAGTATAATTTTGTTAAAACTGTAAAAATTTAAATCAATTTTTTAGTCAAATTTAAAGCTGTTTATCAATTTTCTGGGCGATGAGTTCAATATAAATGAAAACTATCCAAGTTTACCAAGTTTATACTCCTAGACGTACATAAAAAATTCAAAAATTTACCAACTTAAAAATTAAATGTCACTTAGAAAGTAACTACATTGGTGTAGGTACTTTTTAAGTGACATGTAATTTTAAAGTTGGTAAATTTTTGAATTTTTTATGTACGTATAGGAAGTCACAGTGCTCCCCTGCGACCGCCAAGGTAAATTTTGGTTTAGTCTAAATTTTTTTTGCTGGAAGTTATTATTAGATTTAAAAAAGAAGTTTTAGATTGTTTTTAAAATCAAAACTAACTGCTAAGCATACAAATTATTGATTTATATGCTTAAATATATTGGGAGAAAATGACGTCATTTACGCACTCTTTTTTAATAAAATATTTGATATTTAGATAATATATCAAAAGCTTTATCATAAAAATATCATTCCGGTTATCAGTTTTGCAAAAAATAATCACGAAATTTGAGATTTTTGCCAAAATGGCTAAAATTGAATTTTCAATTTTTGTGCTATAGAAACTTGAAGGAAATAACAACTTCAAGTTATCCATATTAAATTCAAAAATAATAAAGTAGATAAAAAAAATTTGTTTTATCTTTAGTATATAAACAGTAGTTCTGTTTTTAATTAATAAACTAAATGGTAATTTTTTGTTTAGTCTAATATTTTCTATTTCACTTAAAAATAGTTAGTAGTATATTGAAAATTACGTTTTGTGCAAAATGGCAGAATCCTCAAACATAATATGTGCATGCTGCTTGGAGATATTTGGTAAAAGATCTGAAAAAGTGTTAAAAATCACTCCAGGGATTGAAAGACATATTCAAAACCTTTTATGGAAAGAATATGATGTGGAAAAAGAATGTTGTCCCAAATATATATGTTCATCATGTGTAACAAACCTTTATGCTTTACACAGAGGAGAAACACAAAAAATTGGGTTGTGGATAGCTAAAATATCACAGGTATTAACTTTATTTATTATAGGCGTTAATTATATAGATTAACTATTATCATCGCATTTAGTTTACAATAAATGCCATCATTTTATTACAAAATAGCAAAAATTTATCACATAAAAAGTTGTTGTGTTTTTGTTAAAATTGATTGACAAAAGTTAAAAAGAGCATCAAATATTAAGCAAAAGGCAGTAGAACTTGTTCCAGTCAATGATGGAAACACAGAAAATTCTATCAAACTGCATAAAATATGTTCTCTGTGATTTTCAGTTACTGGTTAGTATATTTGTCAATAATTTAACTATATATTATAATAAATTCAATTTTATATACAATAAAATAATTGTGAGTTTGTAAACAAATAACTTGAACTAATGATAACTGTTAAATGATTTTTAAAATGATTACTTATAATTACTCTTTAATTCAAGGAAGAGGATTATCTCATTTGTGCTGCAAAAGCCAAGCTGTTAAAAATCTCATTAGCCATTCAGAAGCTCTTGGACATGTATGTAGTGAACACATAGCATCAGGTGCTTAATTTCAACTTTAAATTTATAAAAGTTTTTTTAATTATATCTGAAACTTATAATCAGTGCAAAACCTTAAAAGAAAACTTTTTTAGAGTTAATAATTTTATTTTTCAGGACTTCTCAAAAATAAAATGACGAGAGAAAATATTGAACGAAGCGAAAATTTCCGCCTTAAGACTTTCGGTAATACACTAAATGTTGTTGTTGGAATACCAGATACAAAATCTAAAAGAATATCACTTAAAAAGTTATCCTTTGATGTTATAGTGGAACTCTCAAACACTTTGAGCTTGTCTAAAAGAAAAACAAAGATTCTTTGCACTAACTTACGTGAAAACCTAGGTAAAAACATGGTTGATACCAATATCACGCTTCAAATGGAAGGATTACATGATTCTTTGTCAGAGTTTTATGATGTTGTTAAAGAAACATTTATATCAGGAGATGAAAAGTTAACTCGTAGCCTAGTGTTTGTTAAAAATAAATCAGATCTTATTCTTCACACAATGAACGAGAGAGGCTTAGATCCTTATTCCAGTATAGCAAGAATTTCAGTTGATTCAGGACAGGGATTTCTGAAATGTGTTTTGAATGTTTTTGATCCTTTAGTCAAGCATTCAAGCTCAAAAAAGCTTGATGATGCTGGTGTAAAACGATCAATAATTTTGTCTTTAGTAAAGGATGTTTCTGAACACAATGGAAACCTTAATTTACTTATAGCTCCACTGCGTTTGGAAGATGTTAAATATTCAGTTGCATTTGATCTTAAATGCGGAAATTCTTTATTTGGTCTAAGTAGCCACAGTGGCAAATTCGCATGTCTTTGGTGTGAGGGTGAATGCTTACTTGAAAGTGGTGTAAAAAGGACGTTTGGATCCATAGACATCAACTACAAGAAGTTTGTTGCTGATGGTTGCAGACATAAGAAAATGAAAGAGTTCAAAAACTGTGTTTCTCCAAGAATTCTTTATCTTGATGAGCCTTCAGAAACATTTGAACATAGCATCCCACCTCCAGAGCTTCACCTATTTATTGGGATTATTTCAATGTTTGTGAAGATTTTAATTGCTCTGTGACCTGGATTTGAGCAATGGCTAAAAACTAATTATATTATGTTACGAGGCTACCATGGGATTGGGTTAGATGGCAATAATGCACAAAGGTTTTTAGACAATTTAGATAATCTGGAGATTAACCTGATGAGTGCAGCCTTAACAGATCCAAAAATAAGATTGCTTCTTCCAGTTATTTGTTGTATCAGAAAATTTTCTATAGTAAAAAATAACGGATTTGGAATGAAAGTAGGGGAGTTTTTGTCTGAATCTGTTTTGGACTTCAAAGATTCATTTCAAAGACTTCAAGTTCAACTGAAAGATAGTTTTGAATACCAATTAAATGTTAGCTGGAAAGTTCATATACTTGTTTGCCATCTTTATCCGTTTCTTCAACATAATAAACATGGTTTAGGTGTTTATGCGGAACAAGCAGGGGAGAGAGCACACCACCACCACTACCAAGTATGGAAGAGGTATAAACGACGTTCAGAACATAATGACTATGGAACACAGCTAAAAAAAGTGTTGTAGAATTTGAAAAAAATAATTTAAAATAATACTTTATTTTGTTGTATATAGTACGATTATATTAATTTTATATTTATTGTACTATATATTAATAATTCTTATATATATATATATGTATATATATATATATATATATATATATGTATATATATATATATATATGTATATATATATATATATATGTATATATATATATATATATATATATATATATATATATATATATATATATATATATATATATATATATATATATATATATATATATATGTATATATATATATGTATATATATATATATATGTATATATATAAATATATGTATATATATATATATATATATATATATATATATATATATATATATATATTACAGGGCTAAACTAAGTGGTCATAAGCATCAACAGCTTCCCCCTCTAGACCATTTCCAAGACCTCTAAAAAGGGGCAACCAACCAGTGTTTATATTATTAGAAATAATGATCAGTGTCTAATTGCTCTTGTAGGTCTGTGGATCAGCCCGGGGGCCGCCAATGTTTGACCGCCAAACTGAGTTCTGATTTATGAACTAAATCAAATATTTTTATGCCTTAGCAGTTAGTTTTGATTTTAAAAACAATTCAAAACTTCTTTTTTAAACCTATTAATAATTTTTAGCCAAAAAAAATTGGACTAAACCAAAATTTACCCTGGCGGTCGCAGTGGAGCACTGTGAAGTAATGTACAACTTGGTTACCAGTAGTTAACCAGGTTGTTACCTACATCATTGACCTACAGCTAACCAGAAGTCATAATAAATTTCTGTCTGCTTGTCTAAAATGTTAGAAGCTGTAATATGTTGATGTAAAAGTTGTTTATTTTTGCAAGCCATCAGCTAGGGGGGGTCCATAATTCTATATTTTTTGTTTAACCAGCTATTCTTAATTAATTTTTTGAGAAAAGTTTAAAAAACAATTCAGTTTTTGCTAATTTTTTATGGTTGACCTTCTACTTCTATTTTAAAAATTTAAAAGATATAAAAAATAAAAGTCTTTGCAAAAGTTTCATTGCGTATAAAGTTATGCAACTTTTCTTTCAAATTTATGCAATTCAAATTTTGATTGGATAATTTTGATTTTTAATCATTGCGTTTTAGAAAAAAAAAGTCTTATCTGAAGTCTTTTTCTAAAAAAACGTTTTAAATAAGTAAAACTTCAAAAAAAAAAAAGTTTTATCTGAAGTCTCTTTCTAAACAAAACGTTTTAAGCAATCAAAAAGACAGATTGCTTTAAAATATCTTAATTTCCTTTTTTTTTTTAAATTTTTAATCATTACTCAAGCTATCAAGAAGGCTATTTAAGATTTCATTTTTTTTTTTTCACTTTCTTTAATGAAGTCAAGAATAAATCTTCTTTTAAAGTGCCAGTTAGTAGAAGTTCAGTTAAATTCTAAAGTTTTAACAATTCTAAAGATAAACAGTTAGTATAAAGCAACACCGCTACCTAAAGGGCTTTATAAAAAAAAAACTGGGTGATCAAATTTTGAAATTTTCTGCTTTACTTTAAAACGCAGTGAATAGCTAGTTAAAAAAAATTCTAGAAGCAGTTAATAAGTATATCTCAAAGAGGTTGAGTGATTGTATCATTCTTGCTAGAGTATTTTGGCAAAAGTTAGCCTCAGGACTTCAAAAAAGAGAAAAGTATTATGTGTTTGGTGATGGAATATGATTAGTATTAACTTTCAAATTAAGTTGTTGCAGTTGGAAAGCTTTGGAAAAACCCATTTAATTTCAGCAGTAGATGTATACTTAATTATTTAAACCATATAAAAAATGAAGGTTCGCGCAGTTTAAAAATATTTTGGAGAATTATTGTCCAGTTATTTGTCCAAAAAGTTGAAACATGGAATATCGTTGAAACCAGCTACAAAAACAAATGGATAACAATGGAAGAGCAGCAAACTTTACATCAGGTGTGCAAGATGAGTTCTGTTTTAGCTTGATTAAAGTTACGAGCAGCCCATTTAGCTGTGAACTAGACATTATTGAAGTAGATAAAGATGTTAAAATGAAAAAAAAGTTCGAAAAATGAGGTTCTTTATTTTAGGAATACAATGTAGGTCATTGTCGCAGAAGTCTATTCTGTTTAAATACATGGTTGTTGATATAAAAATACAAACCTCTATCTTATGTGTACCAAAGAACACACTCATAACCTCGATGTTCTATAAGGAAAGTTCACGCAGCAATCTCTTTAACATATGATGACTTTTATAGTTATTTTCCATTTTCAATAGTAAATAACAAACTGTATGAATTATTTTCATATATAATACTTATTTTTTTTTGTTACTTATAAATGATAAGGTATATTATTGATAAATTAAACAGAAAAAGATTTCTAGTTTTCTACTTTTCTTATATTTAATGATAATAATAATTTCATCTAATTTTAACAATGTCTTTTTTTGTCAATATATTTACTTTTATTAAAATCGAAGTAAAAGGCTAAATAATTAAAATGAAAAAAAATGATTATGATTTTCAGAATCAGCATAAAAAACTAATTAAGAAAAATTGGTTAAACTATAAAAAATCTAAAAAAAAGACGATTATGGACCCCCCCCCTACATCAGCGGACCTGACACATTTATTTACCATGTCTGGAGAATTTTATTTTAAGAACGGAATTATTTTTGTGTTGGTGTTTTTGCTCTTTCCATCAAATTCAGAATTACACACCATTCTTATGATTAGCATTTATTCATTGATGCATCGAAATCTAGCTTAAAAGCAGTTTATTACAATGGTTATGTACATCGGTCTGTCTCTATTGCTTATTTGGTCACAATGAGAGAAACATACCAAAATCTAAAAAAAATTCTTTTTTTTTTCCAATATTTTGATCACAAATAGACAATCTGTGCTGGCTTCAAAACTATTTTTATTTTGATGGGGCTGCAATCAAGATATATAATATGTTGCTGTTTCATTTGCACCTAGAATAATTGAAATTGTGCCAAGCACTTCTTGCGGAAAGATTAGCCATTTTCTTAAGTTGCTAAACTAGGTACAAGCAATATAGTAGACTTTCCTTTAGTTGATAAGCAAAGTGTTATATTACCAGCTCTATACTTAAAACTAGTTTTGATTAAGCTGCTGGTAAAGGCTCTTGATAAGGAAAGTGTATGGCCTTCAAATATTCCAAGATTCAAAAATTTTTTGAACTTGACAAAGTCAAAGAACCTGCATTACACTATGCTTACATATTCAATACATTAGCTGCATTACGCTATGCTTAAAGTAACTTAAACTTTGCCAAATTATATATGCAACTGAATTATAACAACTGAATTTGTAAACTATAATACCATGTTTTATATGCAATTACAAGCATAAACCATTCTGTGTGGCACAATGCTTTATTTTGTTACCTTTAAATTTTGTGAATGTTATTTTCTATAGTTAAAACATCTAAGGTTATTGAAACATCTAAGGTTATTGAAACATCTAAGGTTATTGAAACATCTAAGGTTATTGAAACATCTAAGGTTATTGAAACAATTTTTAACAATTTTTTCTATAGTTAAAACAAAGGTTATTGAAACATTTTTTCTATAGTTAAAACAAAGGTTATTGAAACATTTTTTCTATAGTTAAAACAAAGGTTATTGAAACATTTTTTCTATAGTTAAAACAAAGGTTATTGAAACATTTTTTCTATAGTTAAAACAAAAGTTATTGAAACATTTTTTCTATAGTTAAAACAAAGGTTATTAAAACATTTTTTCTATAGTTAAAACAAAGGTTATTGAAACATTTTTTCTATAGTTAAAACAAAGGTTATTGAAACATTTTTTCTATAGTTAAAACAAAGGTTATTGAAAGTTCAGATGATGAAGAAGAACAAGTTGAAAAATACATAAAAAAGGTATTTTATTGAAGGTTTATTTAGATTGTTTTTCTTTTCTTTTTTTTCTTTTTTTTCTTTTTTTACATTAAATATTTTTTTAGGCCATTGCAGAGAGTATTTTAGATGATAAAGTAAATCAGGCTGGCTTTGGTAAGTTACCATGGTTATTTGATTGGTTATGTTTGTTTAGTAATTACAATAAAAAAGATTGCTTATGTTTGGTTAGAAGTTATGTAACGACTTTATGAAATATAAGTTAAATATTGATGTGAAGCTTTGGTGTATGTTTATTTACTTTAATTTATGTTCTTTATGCACTTCAAATTAAAATGAAGTCGTAAAGTTCAGCATGTTTATGTAATTTAATGACTTCAAAACTTTATTTGTTCCATGAAATGACTATCATGAAATGACTATCATGAAATGACTATCATGAAATGAATATCATGAAATGACCATCATGAAATGACTATGATGAAATGAATATCATGAAATGACTATCATGAAATGAATATCATGAAATGACAAGCCAGCTAAACAACTAGTATCGGCTAAGAATTTATTTAAATATAAAAAACTTCATATACCAATAAAGTTTAATATTTAATCCTATTTCTAAATTGGCTTAATGTAACAATTAATAATAGCATAATTTTTGTATGAATTTTATGACTACTGAAAGTTTTTTTCCACTTTTTACAAATACCTTGTTATGGTAACTTAAAAAAAACTATCACTTTCATTTAAATTTTGATTCATTCATTTATTTTATTTGATGAAAACTTTTTTAAATGTTTATCTGCTGCTTACTTTATTTAATTTCTTTTTAGAATTCCCACTTTCATATTTCCTTTAAAACAAACCAAATACAAAACATTACATATTTTTTGTCGTTTTCTTTCAATATAATACCACTCTTTACCAATCTAGTGATCAGATAATGGTCAAATACTGAAAGGTAAATAAGCCTCCCCTATCTCTTATATCACTACAAATTACATTTTTAAAACAGTGTACTTAACATTCTATTTATTATTAATTAAAGAGCAATTTAATTATTTATTAAAAAATTTAGTTTTTGATTTTTTCACAAAAAATGGGTCCTCAAAGGGTCTAGGACCATAACTACATCCACCCCTCATGCAGATTTAGTATTTGGTTATCAATATTCATTTTCAATTAATCAATTTTGTTGACAAATTCTCAGTCTTTTGACATCTACAATGTTGTATTTAAGACTGTTGCTAAGCAAACAACAATTCTACAACGTCGTATTAAAGACAAACCAGATGATGTATACTCTCCAATATAAATAAAGACAATAAATAAATCACAAAATTGTTTACAGGACAATTAATGATGAAGGATCAGCATCCTAAATAGTTCTGAACCGCTGTGCTCTTCCCCAATCATTAGTTTTAAGTAAACCAAAGAAATTTTGAAGTTAATCTCCAGTTAATTTACTAAAATGTTCATTGCTTTTATTTTCTACTTGGATATTTAATCAATTTTTTTTTCTTGCATACTTAATCAAATTGAATGGTTTTTTTTAGTTGTATATATCTTTGTTACATTATAAAATATTTTTTTTAAGTTTTTATTATAATTAGGAAACATTATTGCAGAGAATCCAATTGCAATGGTAGGTTCTGTTTTTTAAACATGAATTGTATATACGTGTATCTATGAAAAATATTTTATTTCCATTACGGGATTTTATTTTATGATATTAGTTTTATTGGTTATAAGTACTACTTCAACATAATTTATATAACCTTTTTTTCAAAAACAGAAATCAGCACTTCTGTTTTTGAAAAAAAGGTTATATAAATTAATATTAATATTATATAAATGTAAAGTGTTAATTTATGCTCTCATAGCAGTTGGAAGATGATAAAGATGAGTTACCTTGGTGCATCATTTGTAATAAAGATGCTTCTGTAAGGTGTTATGACTGTGATGATGACTTATACTGCAAGAAATGTTTTCGGTAATTTGCATTTTTGTAAATACTATGTAGAAGATTGTTGTAAAATGAAAGTGTTTGTTTGGCCTAAAATCATTTTTTATATGGAAATCCAATTAATATTAGTATATCACATATATTATATACCCAGTCTTGGTCAAGAAGGTGTGGAATTGCACATCTTTATATGACCACATAATCAATAGTTTGTTTTGATCAAAAATGATCAAAAATGCACTGATTAAAAAAGATTTTTACCTGGCGTTAAAAATAAATAACATTGAAACTTTTACCTTTACAAATATATTTATATCAAAACATTTTGAATAAAATAAAAAATTACTGATAATGATTTTTTTTTAATTTTATAAATTGTATATTATATAGTTTTATTAATTGTATATTTTATAAATTGTATATTATATAAATTGTAAAAGTATGGATTTTTTATTATAAACAAAATTTTATAAACGACAACTTTTTTAGACATCGATAGTCTTTTTAATGAATTTTATATAAGAATCATTCACTTAATACACTTAAAAAGATTTTCATTGAAAAAAAAATAATTAATGAATATTAATTTTTTAGCTTTAAAGAAAATAATTTTTTTTTTACCAATTTTATAAACAACTACTTTAATAGCCATTCCAGACGATTTTTTTGTAATTCAAATATTCAAATATAATTGATGTCATTGTATAGAGATTGGCTCGACTTAAAAAATAAGGTATCATTCTGCCTTTGAAATTAGGTGAATCAAAAGTTTTTTGTATTGGAAAAATTGATGATTTTTTGACAAAAGGTATAGGGCTTAAATATGGAAAACTTGCTGTGTCATGGCACCGAAAATGAGAGTATTATTGACTTTTGAATAACTTTTGAACCGTTAATACATTTGACATGAAATTTTCCATAGTGACCCACCAACTATAAGAAAATAAAATTCTAAAATTTTTTAAAAAAAATCTGTCAGGATTGTCCAGAATCACCTATTTTACAGACTGAGATTTTATACTAATTTATATATTTTTGGGGTGATACTGATTTTTTGATAACTTTTAAATTGTTATTATATTTGACTTGAAATTTTTCATATTGATCAAACAACTATAAGAAAATAAAATACCAAAAATTTTTTAAAAAAAATCTGTTGCGATTGTCCAGAATCATTTATTTTACAACCTGAAGGTTTTTATATTACTTTCCTTTTTTTGGAGAATAAAATTTGGAGTCATTTTATAATTATACCATGCAAATATGCTTAAAGGATTCATGGAACCCAAAATATTGTTTTGGAAACTATTGCATAATTTACAGACCGACCAGTAAAATAGTCACATAAATTACAGATTGGTCAGTAAATTGCTGAAAATGGGCCGTACAAACAAACTGAACATATCAACTTTAAATAGTTTGATATTTTTTTTAAATTTGTGATATTTTTGAACCATTATTACATTTGAATTTTTAAATAGTGATCCAGTTTTTATTAAATCTGTCGGGATTATCCAGAATCGTTTATTTTACAGACTGAAGGGTTTCTACTTATTTAATTGTGTTATGAGGAAAAAAATTAGGGTTACAATATGCAAATAGGCATATGGGAACCATGGAATCTGAAAAATACATCATTTTGGAATTATTGCACAATTTACAGACCAGTCAATAAATTACTGCAAAAAGGTTGCACAATTGGGCAATTTGACTTTTGAACATATTTCATAATTTCCAGGTGTTATTACATTTGACTTGAAATTTTTGATAGGGATACAAAACTCTAAGAAAATTAAATGCCATAATTTTTTTTACATTTGTCGGGATTATCTAGAATCGTTAATTTTACAGACTGAAATGTTTTAACTTATTTAGCTAGTCTTGGAGAATAAAATTTTGAGTTATATTATAAAAACTCCATGCAAATATGCATAAAGGATCGTAGAATCCAATTCATCTGTTTTAAATTTTAAAAAGAATTCATCTGTTTTAAACTATTGCTTAATTTACAGACTGGTTAGTAAATTACTGCATAAAGAAATCTATCTGAAATATTCAGAATTACCTATTTAACAGACAGTAGATAATAAATAAAGTTATAATTTAAATTTAAATGAAAATAACTTACAGCAATAGAGCTTCCTGAAATTTTTAATACTTACATCAGCAATAACAGGTGTAACAGCAGAAACTCTACCTAAAAATATAATAAAATTATTATTAAAAACACAATGATTTTTAAAAAGTATTTGTTAATTCGTTTTAAAAATCAAAAATTAAAAAAGAAATTAAAAATTAACAATTAAAACTAAATAAATATAAAATGAGAAACTTACTCTTTGAGAATGTTTATGTGAATTATTGACAACACCTAAGATAAAAAAAAAAAAAAAAAAAACATTAAAACAAAAAATGTTGCTATTCTACAACTTATCTCTTGGCTTTTAGTGAATGATTAGAAGTAGCAAGTTTCATTAACGAAACAACCTAATAATCATTTTTAACGATAGATACCAGAGAGAAGGTAAGCCAAGTTGTCTATCAAAATAAAACATCACAACCATAACATCACAATCACACAACATACAGACCCTGTGGCACTAAATGCTGCAAATTCACACTATTGACTAGTGTCAATACTTATTTAAGAAGTTTAACTTCTATCCTCAGCCCTTTACCGTTTCTAACCAACATTAATGATCATCCTGAAAAGGTGAAAGGTGAAAAGCAACATAAATAATCATCCTGAAAAGCTCACAGGTGGCTCTCTTTGTCGATGACATAAGAAACATATGGATTTGAATCATCTCGATTTGGAGCTGACCTGTTAACTGTTGTTACAGAAAGGTTTGAAATTATAGTTAGATAGAAGCGGTGAGGCACATTCTATTGCTCTGGATGGTGTATCTGGCGAAGTCTTTAAAATGTCTTTGCAATCTTGCTGACATTCCTATATTGATGAATGGCAACATTTATACTGTGTCTTCTACTTTACATTGTCTCTGATTATCTTTTTGTACTGACTTCTCATGGAAACCTTATATACAAGTTATTGCTAACTAAGTATACGATAATATAATAATAAAATAAATAACATGTATACGATTGTATACAATAATATAATAATAAAATAAATAACAGTTTTTTGTTAATACTCTCCATTCATCTTGTTTTCCTGATTCATATAATTTGCAATCTTTTTAGTCGTCTGTTAATTGTTATAATCTTCACCTTGGATCTTCCAGTAACTACCAACTCTAAAAGTGGTTGCTTCCAGCTTTGTTGGAAATACTAAATTTAAAATAAAAAGTCAATCTTGCATGATTTAACAATGTTGATGATTTGCTACCTTCTGTTAATTGTTCTATCCCTACTTCTAGCCAAACATCTTCTGGAACAAATTCTAGACAAATTTGTTCAAGAAGATGTTTCTGCTCAAGAAGATGTTTCAAGAAGATGTTTCTAAAAGTTTATTTTCTGATTTAAATTTGAAAACTGCTGATGATATTTTTTCAAGCTCTGTTACTCAAACTTCTATACTTCTAATATTTAAAAATTCCAATATATTCTTGGCAGTATCAATTGGTTTTTCCAGCAATAATTTGAAGCTAAAATTAAAAGTAAACCTAAATTAAAGTAACTCAAAACAAAGAAAATAAGGGATGGATCAATAAAATTTGCTTTCAATAAATAAAAGTTAAAATTCAAAATGTTTGTAGTTATATTAAAAATTAAGGGAAGTAGACCTAATTAATTCAAAAATGTACTATAACTTATGAAAGATATAAGTTCTTACACAATTCCTTTTTTGGCTACTCTTGAACCTTTTAAAGTTGATTTTTTGTTTTTTGTTTTGAAAAAAACATTTTAAAGAAGGCCAATATGTAATCATAATAGTCTATTGAATAGATAGATTGTAGCCTATAACCAAACTTACACTTTTGATAAACAGTTCAGAGTCCAATCCAGAAAAAATTTAAAAATTTAGGTTATTTATTTTTAATTTAATACTATTTAAAGAATTTCGCTTTAAATTTCATCCTTAAATTAAATCTTAATAAGGATGTGAATAAAAAATAATCCTTATTAAGTCTTAATAAGGATTTTTTCTTATTCATATATTTTATATAAATATACATTTGATTAATATTTATCACACAGTAACAAGCGCACTCTAAAGACAAATCAGTAATTTAATTAATCGATAATTTAACCTAACTCGCATAAATTCTATTTATTTTCTAGTGCATTCTTTAATTTATTATTTTCTAGTGTTTATTTTAATTTTAAAAAATTTCATTTATTATAAAATAAAAATAATTATTATTGTAAAATAGTGAGAACAGAATAAAAAAAGATTTAAAGAATTTTAATTTTGAAGTTTTTATTTTTTACATTTTTTTAGAGAGGGACATAAAGATTTTGATTTAAAGTATCACAAGACTTCTTCTTTTAAAGAAAATAAAAAGTATCACAAGACTTCTTCTTTTAAAGAAAATTAAAAGTATCACAAGGCTACTTCTTTTAAATAAAATAAAAAGCGTTAATAAATGTTGCTTTAATAAAAGGTTATCTTTAAGATTAGTTGCATAAATTTTTGTGAAGACCTTATTAATATAGTTTGTAACTGACATTTTTCTAAATTTTAATTTTTTTTTTTAATTTTTAATCTTGTAATTATTATTGAAGTAGTTTATGTTGATTTATGTTGATTTATGTTGATTTATGTTGATTTATGTTGATTTATGTTGATTTATGTTAAAGTGTTAAAGTGAATTATTTGTAATTTGTCCTTTCAAAATTTCAATGTCAACAATTTAGTCATGTTTTTACAGTTATTTTATGTAACAGTGTACATGGCACCTGTCTGGACAAAAATCAACAATGTAAAATAACTTTAAAATTGGTACTGGTTATTAATGGTTACTGATTGTACTTCTGCTCTCCTAAATATTTTTTTTAGCCCAACTATTTTAATATTATTTATGACTCCTTATATTATATAAAAATTTAAAAGCATTGAATCTAAATCTTTTTCTTAAAATTTTGATTAGAATGTATTCTTTTTTTTATATATACTTATGAATCTTGTTAAAATATTAAATATTTGTCAGTTATTGATTTAAAGTTTTTGATTTATTTAACCTACGGAAGAATACTACTTTTTAGTTCAGCAATCATATTGTAAACAAAAATTTGAAAGCAATGAATAGTTATTTCTTAATATGTTTAGAATTAGTTTTTACTAACCAAGTTTATTAATTATTCCAAAATAACTTTTGCTGATTAATAACTTTTGCTGTATATATTCCAAGACTACTTCCACTGCTTACTTTTTTTTTTGTGTTTGAAAAATAATCCTGAATTAATTAATAAGTATCTGTTTTCATGTTCTACAAGTATTATTCCTAATTTTTTTTTAGGTTCTTATATTTTTATACAATACAAGTAGACATCTTTTTTAAAACTGTTTTATTTATAAATCAATATATATGACTATTAGGATAGACTATTTATAAAATTTAATATTGAGAACTTAATGTGTTAATACCAACATAAAAAGTTAAAAGAAAATCTGGCATGCCATCAATTATATCTCAGGTAACTTATGACTTTTTATTATCAAAATATTTTTAATATACCTAAATAAATATTATTTTAATTTATATGTATTGTTTTTCAGCTAGTTAGTTTTTTGCATTATATGATAAATTAAAACTAGTATAAAGTAAATAAAATAATAATAGTGGATAGAAATCAAAAGTGTTTATGAAGCTTTTGTATAATAAACATTTTGTTTTAAACTTTACTTTCTGTTTTGTATGATTAATGTTGATAATTTTAAAACATTTTCATATGATTTATGTTGATAATTTTAAAACATTTTCATATGATTCATGTTGATAATTTTAAAAAATCTTCATATGATTTATGTTGATAATTTTAAAACATATTTGAGTTTCAATATGTGTTCATTTGTGAGTACCGTTTAAATAAAGTACTCACCAAGAGCTGCCATCTGTTGTCATAGAAACATCAACAATATTTCAAAAATTATTAGCAGTAAACAACTGTGTTTCGTATGTGTTACAATTCACCAGCTATTTCACGTTGTCGTAGAATAACATTCACACTTAAGATTGGGTGTATGTTCTAAGCAATCAAAAAGTAGTGACTTGGGGTTTAAGGATAAAGTATTTGTGTCATCAACAAATAAAGTCATTTAAAAAGTAAGATTGTCAAAAAGGTCATTAATATAAGTGAACAAAACTGGACCAATTATGTAATCTTACATATGATAACTTTAACACTGCGATTAATAATGATTCAATAATTTTAAAGCTAAAGAATGATAATTGAGTGGAGCGGAGCTAAACTAAAGAAAGATAATTGAGTGGAGCAGGGCTAGTCAAAAGAAAGATAGTTGAGTGGAGCTAAACAGTATAAATAATATTTTGAGACTTTTTCATATTTTTATTAATCATATCACAAATTGCTGAAAATGGGCCGTACAAACAAACTGAACATATCAACTTTAAATAGTTTGATATTTTTTTAAACTTGTGATATTTTTGAACCATTATTACATTTGAATTTTTAAATAGTGATCCAGTTTTTATTAAATCTGTCGGGATTATCCAGAATCGTTTATTTTACAGACTGAAGGGTTTCTACTTATTTAATTGTGTTATGAGGAAAAAAATTAGGGTTACAATATGCAAATAGGCATATAGGAACCATGGAATCTGAAAAATACATCATTTTGGAATTATTGCACAATTGAGTGGAGCAGGGCTAATCAAAAGAAAGATAGTTGAGTGGAGCTAAACAGTGTAAATAATATTTTGAGACTTTTTCATATTTTTGTTAATCATAAAACTTCCTTCAATCATAGATATTGAACGACACAATAAGCAAGTTGCCTCGCTAAGTTTGTTTTGTTGCCTCACTAAGTTTTTAGATCTTTACCCTCATTAAGAGGAAGAGTTGCATAACCACTCAATGAGGCACAAGTCAAACCCCATGAATAAAGTTAAGAAGATCCAGGGTTCATTATCCTAAACAGGAAACAATGAGATGACAGGAAACAATGAAATACAGGTTTACATCTGCATTAAGAAGTGATGTGAGGCTGGTCAAGAGAGATTTTCTGCTTACCTTAAAGTCTTTGCCTAGGAGGCCTTCTACAAGACAATAGCCAAGATGAGTATTTTACAGAATTAGCTTTGTCTAAGAAAAGTAAAATACTACAATACAAGAAAATATACGACATCAGAGTTTTGTGCATACTCAGTAGTAATTTTCTATTTGAGTTGTCTTTGTATATTTATTTAGTTTCAAGTCTGCTGGTTCTTGTTAACTATTGAATAATTATAATTTATACTATTTTTTGAAATTTTTCTCTTATTATATGAGATCAATACTTCCAACACTGTATAGTATTTCATACTGTCTTTTTGTATATAACAAAAGTTGTTTCTGTTTAATATAAATTTCTTATAAATTGGTTTTGCCTGAAGATCAATGGATGGAGCAAAAATGTTGCAAAAAAAAAAGCAATCTAAGATTCAAAAAATATTTAAAACTTTAGATATCGGTTTGGTGCTTATTCAAAAATTAAAAAAAAAGACTAAATTTTTTTAAATCAATGAATGGATATTCAAGTTTAATGACTACTTATTCTTTAAATGTTTTTATAACTGGTGTCTAATATCATTTTTATTGGATATCCTATGAACTTTTCAACTAAGGAAACACATTATCAAACTATATAAAAATCTAAAACCAACAAGCCAATAAGAATGTAAGATTTGACACTAAAAGAGAGGAAGAAAAATTATGAGTCCACAAAAACCACGTTTTTGATAAGGCATTTGTTCCTAAAAAAAAAATGATTAATTTTATCAACATTGCTTAGGAAAACATATTTTTCACAAAACAAATTGCTTAGGAAAACATATTTTTATTTGTGTCAAAATCTTGCTGGCATTAGCAAATTTATAAAACTGCAATTGTTTGAATAAATGTTTTATTTGTAATTCCTTTCAGAGTAATTTTAAGTAATTGTTAAACGTACTATTAAATCAACTTTTTTTATTTTAGGTAAAATGTACCCAAAATAAAAAAATTTATTTTGAAAAATAGAAACGTATACTTTTGACATTAAAAAATCCGCAAATTATTTTATATATCAAAACATGTTGCTTTCAAAACACTTTGTTTTCTGTTATTTGTATTAGTTATTTCAGTGGTTATTTTCATGTTTATTTCAGCACATTAATTTTTACTCTGTACTTTAGATAGAGTTTCACGAAGAGAGGTTAGAACATTGTGAACATCGTCTTGATGATATTCGAGTAACTTTGAGAAAGAAAGATATTTTGGATGCAGACAGGTAATCTTGTTTTTATATATATTTAATTGTGATATAATATAATTTAATACGCAATCATGATTTGTATGACTTTTTTTTTTAGGTCTCAATTATTTCTCGAAAGAGATCAGCTGACTTCGGCTATTTCTAATCATAGTTAATATTCATTTTTCTCTTCTTTCTTTTTTTTTTTTTTTTTTAATTTTTATGTTATAGTTTTATAATTTATGAGATTATGCATGGCCTACTTAAATTACACGGCCTGATTTGTCGCATTTTCTGTATAAAATTATAAGGCCAGTTTTTTTACGGCTTATTTATAAAAGCTTTAATTCTTGGTTAAGAGTCATGTTTGGACAATAAATGTTTTATTCTTATTTTATTAAAATTTTTAAATAATAGTTAGATTTTTTATGAATAATTACTTCATGTTTCGCTTGAATTTTCACTAATTGATTTCCTGCTTAAATTTTTTTCCAATAACACAGGTTACTGAAATATGCTTTCAGATAGCTATATTAACATATATCAACATCTAAAAATAACCTTATATGTTGTTAAAACTACCCACAACTCTCTATTAGAAATAGTTTAAAGGTTTATAATTTTGTATTAATTATTATAGCAGTTTTTAGGAATAAAACATAGATTTTTCTTGAAAATATTTACACTGCAAAACAATGTTTTGTATCGTAAATATTCTATTATGTTGCATGTTTCAAACATGCAGCAATTAAAATGCAACAAATCAGGCCATTTATTTTTGAATAGGCTCGGAAATATCAAGCATACCATCAAGGCATACCAACTGTTTTTGAGTCAATAGCTGTTAATAAAATTCTTAATTTAATAATTAATCATATTTCTTTACCTAAATGACTATACATTTGTTCTTCCAGTTTACAAAGTGATCCCTTGGAGCTAGGTTTTAGTAAGTATAGTTAAATGACCAGTGGTAGACTTTTTGCGAGTCTTTGAAAATGTAAAATAGTGAAAAAATTTTGGCAGAAGTCTGCTCTATAATATTTTGCTGGCAAGAAAATATTTATCAAACATTTGATAATCCTTAAAAAATATTATGCAAGATATTGCTTAGTTGTTTGCATAAATACTATTATCAGCTATTATATGTATCTATGCTTTCTGAAGATAGCATAGATACATATACTATAGCAAGTTACTTTGATAAAAAAATTTAAAAAAAGATTTGAATGTTAACCTTATAAATGTTATTTTATGCAGAAAAGAAAATATATATCCAATTCAACCTCTGTCTGGTTTTATTTTTCATCTTTTTAGTATTTTATATGTTATTTCTCATATTCTAATCAAACATTGCAGTCATTTTTTTTTCAATTAAATATTTGCAGAACAAATTTTAAAGATTTGTTATAGCAGTGTTGATTTTACTCGCTAAAAAGGGGAAATCAAATATAGATCTCGTATTGTTAATAATATTTTTTTATAATAATTTACAAAACGAAATTACATATTCAGTAAGAAAAGATCAAGTGAAAAAATTCAAAAAAAGACAGACCGAATAAATATTCCTATTATTCATATTATTTCTTCTTTTAATTTCAATTATACTAAATACAAAATTACAAACATTTGATTATATTTTCAATAGAAAGTTTTAGGCAATCTTAACAGCATGTAATTTTATTTTTAGGAGCAAGTTGATATATAGTTATCTGAAAACCTATTTCAATATTCTGTCTTATTTAAATCAACTGAAGCAGGCAATCAGTTTGCGAAAAACTTGGCACAAAATAATGTGCTCAAAAAAAATCTAACTATTATTTAACCATTTTAATAAAATAAAAACAAAACATTCAAAGAGCAAACACGACTTTTAAAAATAACAAGATCTAACATAAAAGCCGTAAAAAACTGGATTCTTTATTTTTTACGGAAAAAAAGGAGGCCAGTGTAATTTAAGTAGGCCATGGTTTATGTATATTTTTTTACATTTAGAAATTACTCTAAAATCTCTAAGACATGAAAATCGAAGATCGATGATGGTATCAGTTGCTGTGGTTACTATTATTGCTCTGGTTTATCTATTTGCAATTAGTTAATGACGCCTGTTTTGCAACAATATAATTTTCGAACATTATTTTAAAATAAATTAATATCATCTAAGACTCCTAATCTAAACTGAGAATCACTGATCTTGGTGGCGTCAATCTTGACAAAGAATAAAACATAAAAATAGCGACTTTAGTTTATAAAACCTTTTCATTTAAATTGTTTTTTTTCAAAGAAACAATTTTTTTATTGAAATATTTAAAAAGATTGTTTCTTCTCTTTGATTTTTTTTTTTAAATGATGTTTTTAAAAAATAGAAATAAAACTTTTTAAAACTAAGAATGTTAAATTAGAATTTTTTGTATAAACGAAAAATAATCAGCTTTTGACATAAAATGATTACGCAATCATAAAAATTAAAAGTTTAAAAAAAAATTTATTTGGTCGGGTGAATATAAAAAAGCAATTTGCTTTTACTCAGTAATGGGTCAGCTTTACGTGAATAAAAAAGGAATTTTCCTGAATTTTTTTTTCACGTAAAGTTGAGCAATACTAAGCGTTTTTGTAGTAAATTGCTTAGCTTTAGGTGAATAAAAATTTGAACGATTTTTCTAAAATTTAATTTGCACGTAAAGCTAAACAATTACTCCAAATTTGCGCTGGCTAAGCGTTACCAAAAATTAATACAAAAAGCAAAACATTTATAAGACTTTTAGAATACGTGCTTGTGTTTTTCATGCGTAATTAAGATAAATTACAATACATAATTATTTAATACTTTGTAATTAACTAACATTAAATACAAATATAACAGTTTTTTTTCTGAAAAAAATGCATATTTTAAATGGGAAAACAGAAAAATTATAAAAAAAAATTGCTTGAAAAACGGATTAATATAAAAATATTTTTGATCGAAACGTGTTTTTGGGAAAATAAATTTGAAGGAATTCAAAAAAAAAAATCATTTAGAAAGAATAATGTCGAAAATGTCTATAGGAATAATATAGAAATTTGGATTTAGGAATATCTATCGAAAAACTAGCAAAGAGGTAGAACATGCGAGAAGTGTCGCTAGATTGACTGATATATATGTAGAACATGCGAGGAGTGTTGCTACATCGGCTAACAAATAGGTAGAATATGCAAGGAGTGCTGCTACATAGACTGGTTTGGTTTAGGCAAGCATTCTATCAATTAAAAAAAATTGAATCAATCTTTTTTTTTTTGATATTGTTCCGAAAAGTCCCTTTTCGAACTTATTCACTTTTGAGCTATTTCGATCTTATTCTGCTTTTCGTATTTTACATACAGTTCCTTTTTTTACAATTTTGGTTTTATTCTATTTCGATATTATTCCAAAAATTCCCTTTTCGAGCTTATTCAATTTGGTGTTTTCGATACTGTTACTACTACCCTTTTAAAACTCTGTTCCACTTAAAACATAGTTGTGATTAAAAGGTAGTTGTTACAAATTTTAGATAAATTGCTCAAGCGGTTCTTTGTTATTGCGGTCAGCCTCTTGAGAAACCTCACTAAAAAAACGCATAAAAACTGAAATAAATACCTAAAAAAATATATACCTAACATTATACATAAGGCTCTATATGGAATTATAAACCTCTTGTTTTATATATTTTTATTCTTAAAAAAGCCTACTAATTGATATAGTTTCTGAGGTCACTTTTTATTCCTTAACTTTTGACGATGCAATTTGTATTGCAATTACTCGATAGACCATTTAATGTGTACTTGTTTATTTTGCTTAAACCAATTACTGCAGAACTTTAATTTTCGTATATTATTGCCATGCTGAAATGGTTTTTTCCCAATAACTTTTTCAATATTAGGTAAAAATACAAACTTGTCATCAAGTTTTTCAATTATTTACACAGAAAGTAATAATCAAAATATAAGGCAAAAGTATTATATTAAAGCAAGTAATCAGTAAAATGTTTTGATGATTTTATTAAACTGTGAACGACCTTATTGTAACTAATTTTTATGTCATTCTCAACATTCTTTTCATCCAAACGACTACAAAGTCGATTTTTAAAGTCCTCAGCTTAGAAAAAGCAGGGGCCCCGAAGGAAAACCTCCTAACCTCCCCGGCCAGTCTGACCCTGGTGCAGATAGTGCCAAATGTTTGTTTTTGATAATGCAACATAAAAAAGGTTGGAAAAAGAAGCTAATATTAAAGCTACTAAATTACCAGTATTCTTTCATAACTGCCACTATGAAGAAATTCGTCTGTCAATCTCCTACAACCACGCAATTCACTTTCGACAGCTTTAAATGCATACAATATCAAACAAAAAAAAAACAAATAATATTTCTATACGCCGTCACTTTTTTTCTTTTTGTATATCGATGTCCATTCGAGGTGTTGAGCTGACTTGATTACTCTCAGAAGATTCAATATTAACTATTAAAAATAAATATTTTTAAAGTCACACTGCTATGTAGCACTCACAATTCAAAAAATGAATTGCTGATAATCTACAAAATTGTTATGCTACTTTTTGTTATATATACACAGTGTCCGCCAGAGAAGGGGGGCTACTGGGTTTTACCTAGGCAAGGAGGGAACACGAGACCCTCAATAATAAAATTTTTAATTGTGATTAACAAGGAAACTGAATAAACTTTTTTTTGATTTGGATAATGGATTTTTAGCTAAATTATTTTAAATATTGCCGCCTGTAAGTGTGCTAATCAATCCAGTACTACTTCAAATTACTCGATATTTTAGTAATTTAGCCATCTGGCTAAAAGTGAGTGGCTCTTTTTTACTATCATACCATGTGTTGACAAATTCTGAATTCAGATAAAATAAATGTAGCCAAGAAAATTGTCAATCACCATTCAACTATTTGATCTACCTAATCTAGTTTTTTAAAGTATTTTTAATTAGGTTTGTAAGATTTTAGGTTTTTAAAGATTTAAGGTTTTAGATTTTTAATTTTTTTTAGTTAAAAGCCGTGGAACGGTGGAATAAGTATCTGTGTTGGTGAAAAGTGTTAACATAATATTGATTAGAAAAAAAAGACAATTGTATTAGTTAGATGTGTAATTATTAAATTTCCTTTTTGCAATAGAAATTCAACCACTTCTCTAATTGTTTATCTCTCACACTTCTTAAAGTGAAAAAACCATGTCTGATTTTTTAAAGCATGATTCAGTGTCACAAAGCAACAAAAGATGCATTAAAGGTTGTAAAAGAAGACCAGAAAAAAACGCGTAATGGAAGAGTGTGGCTTCAAAAAAATGCCAAAAGAACCGGCATTTAATAACTCAACATACAACCAAAAATCTCAGATATAGCATTGTTCTTTTCAAATCACGGTGATTTAAAGGGGACAATGCTATACCTAAAATTAATGATAATTTTCTTGGACTTAAAGGTTTATCAAAATTGTTGATTGTTAAAAAAAAAAGTTATTAATTAATTGTTTTTCTAAAGTTTCTAATGTTTCTTCTAAAATAGATTTATTATATTTGTTTTTTGGAATGAAGTTCACGCCTTTTTTGAATGAAGTTCACGCCTTCTTCCTTAACAATGTCGCTTTTTGAGCTAGAGCCGGTTTCGTTCTAGCACAAATTCGGTGAGTTTGGGAAGCATATTCGGGTAAGCTCAGGACGCTTTCTTTTTTTCACATATTAAAACAATATCATAATTCTTAAAATGTTGTTTTAATTTTGGATGAAGAGGCGGTTCAAATGGGCAATCTAACAGTAGGAAACGACTCCTCTTTAGGGGAAAAGAAGTTTTATCCAAAGTTGAACACCATCTAGTCATACTAAATAAAAAACCAAATAGATCTTAGTCTTGTTTTTTACGAAACTGTTCTCAACGGAGAGAAAATCAACTGAGACTAACTTTTCTGTAGTGGAAATGCCAAAGCTTTCGTTTATTTTGCTCTCATTTTGGACAAAGCATAATTTTTAGTCCTGGATTTCAGTCTTTCCTCTTGAGGAGGATTGGCGGAATAAAAGCAATCAGCAAAAATTAGGAGAAAAAAATTTAAAGTCAACAGTCTGACGCAAAGAAATCGCTACATCGTCTGATTTCAAATCAATTTTTGAAAAAAGTTAAACCAAGATTGATTCAGAACTTGAAAAATCAAAAAGAAATTAGACATTTAATTAGTGCAAAGCTCTATGCTGGATCAAGGACGCCATTCTCCACTTAGCTTAAAAAAAATCTAAGTTTTCGAGGTGTGTTTACAGTTTATTTTTAGAAAATAGTTTTACTGTTATTTAGATTATTAATCTAGATGTAATGCATATTTCAATATTATGTTCATATTTACGTAGGTTTATCAAACATGCTGGGAGAAAATAGTGATGGTAGTTTTTTAGCCTGAGCTTTTTAAAAAGCACAATAAGACACTCCAGTTCCGTCTTGAAGAGGCTTCTTGACGCCAAAAACAACGACCAAGGATGCAAGTGCATAATTTGAGCTGGAGAAAGCAAAATGAGTTTATTATGGCATGTGGGGAAATCTTGTTTGGTGCTACTGTTGAAGAGATCTACAAGTCCATTTGTTTTTTCCTTAATTTTCAACAGGACGTATTTCATACGGAACAAATTACCTTTGTTCTTTGATTCGTGCGCCTTTGCTCTGACAAATAATTCTACCTTCTGGGTATATAAACGTTTCAACCATTAAAACGCTTCAAAACGCTTCAAACTTTCAAAGTTTCCTTCAACCTTTAAAACGCTTTTTTAAAACGAAGTTTTGGTTGGGCGTTTTGAATGTCCTTAGTCAGATGATGCTAATTATGGACGTTTTGGATCAAAGCTAAATTAAGTTAAAGAGTTGTAGAGGCCAGGACTATAATAAAGGGGTTATAATGTTTGGTGTATATAAAGAAGTGCATGAAATAATTTTCAAGAAAAGCCAAATACTTGTTCAATTGGGTTATGTTTTAAAAGGGATACACCATTACTAGTCAATATTATATTTGAAATTATTTGAAACCTTTTAAATGAATTTATTTTATATTCTTATATAGGAAATGAATAAGCAAAGAACTAAAACAAGCACTCAAAATTTTAAATTTCTCCATGACAACGCTCGACATAATAACCGTAGCAAATTGTTTTAACCAAGCTGGAATTACAATAATTCGCCACCCGCTATACAAAATTAGCTCTATCCGATTATTGGCAATTTGACTTGAATTATATTAATTCTTGATATCGATACTGAC